AATTTGCCGGAAAAGCTCATAAAGCACCCTCAAGTAAAATCAAACAATCCAAATAAACAGGCCAGTTATAATGACGTGTTTATCTTGGCTGTATTGCTACGGGTTAATGATCGCGCCTATATCTTTAATTAACAGCTCATTTAACGCCCTTAACTAATAAAGAAGGACTGCCAGAGCGGGATATTCGTGTTCGATGGGTGACGAGTTGCGTTGGGCTTGTAATTTCGTCCCGACCAGACATTTATTCCGTTTTCATTATGGGAAATGTTTATAAACGGGCCTAGTAATTTTAGTCCGGCTACGGCAATTAACATTGTGTTTACTTTAACGAGTGGATATTGGCCCGGATGTTTAGCGTAGCGACCCTACGGCTACACCGCCTTCACATACTACTATATTTTCACCAATCGGTGCGTTCGCTGCACTGAAATTTATTAAGCTTAAAGAGCACTATGATGTACTACAGACAGATCTATAATTTGAATATAAATTAGTTGAATACAGTCGTACCTTATTGTTTAAAATTTAATATTCCTAATTGACGTTAACTGTAATATGGATTTATCTATCTCTAGAAATATTCATCACTATCAAATCACTTTCATTCTCAAGTTGAAGCTAGATCTGCATGTAGCATGCATTTGCACTGGTGTAATACAGATTTTAGATGTTTATATTTTATTTGTATTTCATTCTCTTTGGACTATGAATTCTGGGTTATGAGGTGGTGTTTCCGTGCAATGTGGATAATTATACAAGAGTCAGAAACGCACTCATGTTTTATAACGTTATCTTGGCAATCATCAATCGACATGAGAGTTAGTTAAATCACACTTTGAAGTAAATTAATTCTAAAAATCAGATGAATACATATTCTGATCCATTCTTCCCTTGATGAAGTGAAAGTATTCTAATCCAGCAGCTGCAAGCGTCCCATAAATCATTTATTATTTTGTTGTATGGTGGTTGCCCCCATACTTCACAATTGATAGTTGATAGATTACGATATTCTCTTCCATTTTCGCCATGATTGAAAATTTTTCTACCTGATGTTTTGACCGGTTTATTTAACATCATGAGACATATTCCTCATTTTTGATGCACTAAGGAAGGAATCTGTATTTATTTTTCGTGTTAAATAGCTCAATTATGCCATGAATCGCGGAATAATTTCTTGTTCGTATTTCTCCGTGAAAAGTCCTCTTCTCGTTTTTATAACCTTTACACATATTCTGCTACTGCACAAATAAAAACAAATTGGTTCATCGTCAAGACGGAATATGATCCACTTGCCCTTTCCTCGATCTACTTTACGGTAATAATATATTGTTATTTTTGTACTTTTAGTCGTTAACAGCCCATCTACAACTGAACAGTGATACTATTAAAGAATTTTTCAAAGATAAACCAGATAATAAGATAAACCAGTTAATGGATAAAGTGGAAAACTATTTAAAACATCATTCAATACTTCAAAATTCCCGAAATACTAAAACTTCGGTGCAATCAGAGAACTCCTATAAATATCTTGGAATATGCTTTGATAGTAAATTATTTGCCATCCCCACGAAGAATGTTAAAATGAAAGTTGGCAGATATGCAAATTTATTAAAATGTCTCACCTATAAGAACAATGGGATAAATTTTAAATTTGCAATGCATATTTATAAAACTATATGTAAACCCAGCCTTGACTACGAAACTCCCACTTTATCGGAAAATAGACAACACATTTAGAAGTTGCAGAAAGATCAACAATTAAAATATAGACAAAACTTCGAAATCCCTAAAATACCTTTATAAAAAATTTTCAAAATGTATTGTAGCTTATTTTGCCTATTGGGTTGGTCGGTGGATGTGCTTTTGCAATGCAGGTTACTGTGTGTACATGGTTTCTGAATTTATTTGCATTGATATTTTTTTGCGGAACTGTATGCCATGAATTGGACCGGTTTTCACCGTAAGCAAAGGCCTTTGGGCTATTGGATAATTGATTTCTGACCATTGAGTACCAGATGTGCAGTCTAAGCTTTAATGATCGAGGAAAAAATTCATATAAGGAAAGAATGTTTTTTACGAAGAACTGGAAAATTAATTAATTAGTTTTAATAATTGAAAAGTTCAACGTAAATATAGGAAAAGAACGATAGTACCACGAAAAGCTACGAAACAACAGCCTTCACGAGGAAAGCAATGAGAACACGCGGAGTGTTTATGCTAGATTTCGCAGCTTCGAAGAATCTTATAGTAGGAAGCTCTGTTGGGCCTCTGTTGTAAATAGGTCATTTACAATAGAGGCCCATCACAGGTCAAATCTCTTGAACACGAACTGTTGCAGGATGGAGATAGAGCAATAACACGGGAAAGCAGTGCCTGTTATAAAATGGTCGAGAGGAAAACAAAGAGAAATGTTATATAATACTATATATAAACACTGCCGTATGTAGCCTCAACATCTCAAAAAAAGTAATAAACCTGGTAAGAATGTTGTGCAGAGATATGGACAAGTAGCACATGAGACGCTGACCTTCTGCTCATTCTCGAACAGAATATTGGAGAGGAACATGACGATGCAGATACAACTTTGAATTAGACCAACTGTTAGGGACACGAGGAAGGCTTAAACTCAGGTGGGAGGTTGGTATAACAGAGGAGGCAACCAAGGTTGGATTTAGAGTTTGCAGAACAGTTGTACGGAATAAAGTTGAATGGAGGAGGAAATTTTGGAAGGCCAGGATACGTACAGGGTTATAGCGCTAAAGATGATGATTACCAACACACTCAACAGGACGTTCGTTATCATCTCCTATCTTTGCGATGTTGTGATCAGATAAGTGCAGGGATCGGGATATTAAAAAGTTTTTCAGATCCTTGACATGGACTAAGTGATAAAAGCTATTGGAATAAAGCTATACCTCCTTAAAGCACATTAACCTTTAAACACTAACCATTCGTAATGCTAACACTAATACTAACCATAAGTAATTATTACGACTATATTTATTTTTATTATTGCTTGGGTTGTAATGACAAGACATTAAAGTAATACATCTTTATATCTAATATACATCAGTTTTGACAGGAATCACATAATAAATAGTTAAAATGTGTTATGTAAAACTGAGAAAATATTTTACATGAATTTTTCTTTTCAAACTTTTACCTCAATTTATTATTATATGTACATAAATAAGTTTTAGATTATTGATAATTCAGGATATACTTCTGTATGTAAGAACAGCTTCAGGTTGAGCACATCTTGTCAAAAGCATCAACGGCCGCCTTTAGTTGCACTATAATGCAATTTTTTTTTTTTTTTTTGAACATAGAACTTTGTGTCCGTCAAAACAAAACTTGGCATTTCCTACAGCTCTGTCTTTTTTAACAAGCATCTGGGTTGGAATTTCTCTCTTTTCTTTCCAAATTGTTCCCAATACTGTGAGTTTGAAAGCACCAATTGTACTTCAGCACTACTTCCACACCAAATTTCATCGCGCTAGACACACGTTCAGATTATACAGAGTGTGCTCGTGAATTATTTCCAACAGTGTAATTTAGTGCTGGCAACATGGTTGTCGTTGTGAAGAGCAGAAAAAAACTAATAAACCAAGTAAACCCTTTATTTCTAACAAAGTAGTTGGCGCTATAGTAGCTGTAACATTTGAATACATAACTTGTCTACGTACTATTTCTGAATTTGCGTGCTGGACGATTTTTGTAATCAAATCATCACTGAAAAATAATTGAAATGTTTATAAAGGCTTTGAGCCAGTTTTGCTGCGAATTTTTTTGCCGCGTCGTCTCAAAACTATGTTTCGGGCTTCAGTACGAGTAGTCATTGTTGGTGGAGTAGTGGACCAAGCATGTCTATTTTTTCCTCGTATAATTCTTTCTATGGTCGATAGTCTAATTTGTGTACAAGTCTTTTGAGGCTTAGAACCTCTTAGTTCTTCAACGATAGCATATATCGCTCATATTTAGATCCGGAATAGGCCAAAATGTCATTTTCGTTTTTGCTACCGCTGCTTCCTTCAAAATCTGATTCGTCATCGTTATCAGTTGCAGCAAAACACTTATCGATTTCTGAGGAACGTAAAGCCATGGTTCTTAAGTAATCACTAGATTATTTACACTGCACAACAATTACAACAATGTTATACACACTTTAATACACTAAAAGTAACAAATAACGACATTATAAACTAAATTGCGATCTTTGGTACGAGAGAACAATGTAACACTACTACTAAGCATTCGTAAAATATACGACTACGTGACAATTTAGAGAAAATGGATATGCGCCGGGCAACAGCCAAATGTAGACTTAATAGTTAACACACTGAGGCAGACGGCAAAAAATCCATTTTCACGGTTGCAAGAATTACGGATGCTTAGTGTTCAAAGGTTAAACATCATACGTATTCTTTTGATCAATGCACCTTCAATAGACCTGAGCAGGTTAAGCTTGCCAAACTACACGTAAAGTATATTCAATTAAACTTTGGTTATATATTGAAGAAAAACTAAAGCCCTACTTCCTTGGGTTGTATGGTTGATTCTATGCGTATAGGATTCATACATTTGTTGCAATTCTTCCACCTAATTAGCTTGTTGCATACATTGTGATCGAATTATTGTTAAGGTTATGAATGATGTAATAGTTTTAAGGTAATGGCCTTTACTGTTGATGTGTGTAGGAATAATATTAATGATAATAATAACAATAAAAGAACAAATTATTTTGAAGACATTTACTCCGAGTCTACAAACCAAACCTTACATTCAGGAACATAATACAAATTGCACTCTTAACAGTTCATAGTTTGAGTCATAAACTCTACAACTTTTTTTTAAGTTTTTAAAGCACTTTTATTTCGAATTTTTTGAAAATCGATGGAACATTGGTGTACTTGCAATGTGTTGAAACAATATGCGCAGGGTTAATTATAAAAGTTCTATCGACTGTATTTCTATCTAACAACTGCTCTTTTTTGTTTCAGAAAAAAGACGGAGTTCCGAAATGACGTGGAAAAAGATACGAAGGATCTCATAAACAGGACGATGTATCCAACGGCACAAATAAAAATGAGGTTCGCTTCTTCTGCTTTAAGAATTCATACAGTTATCAATTTTAATGCGACGTATAATTAAAAAATAAGTAATTAAATAAACCATATAGAAACTAAAGCGGTTTGAAATAAAATTGTGTCCCAGATTAACGTGGGTCGAGTTTAATTGCATCCAAACCGACCCGTATTATAAGTAATTATCGACGGTGTAGATGTTCTCTTTGACTTTAGGCTTATGTCGCCAAGTAGTTCACCAGCAACGTCACCAACCATGTCAAATTCATCCTCGCCGACACCTCCAGCCACAGTTAACTATAATAAAATGACTGGAATTCCGTGTGTAGCGGCAGCATCAAGGTATACAGCTCCTGTACACATAGACGTTGGGGGTACCATATACACATCATCGCTAGAAACCCTCACGAAGTAAGTATCTTTCTACAACCAATTTATTACTTAACTCAAAAAATTAATTTGATACACCTGGTAAAATAAAATAATGGGGAGGAAACTGACAAAAGGTTCGGGGGATAATAAGACCGAACACAATTTCCATAACACACGTTTTTCGACGGCGGCGGCGTGTACGAAACCCTCGGGGGGTCGCCACCCGTAAACAGTCGAGGATGGACCCGAGTTGGTTCTCCGGGGGCCTGGAGCGGACCGTGGATTTCGTGACCACCCGAGGACGCGTTCCATCATGGGAATGGAACGACGGGGGCCTCCTACGTGCCGCCATCTCGCCATCGTCATCTCGGGAATGCGAGAACGGCCCCGATCGCATAAATCTCCGCGGGGCCGCCGCTTCGGCGCTCTAAAACTGTTAAAGGTTAAAATCATATGGCATTAAAGTGTTTACAATATCGGGTATCTCAATCGGGCCGTGCATAAATCGGCCCCGTGCGTTTTGACCATGTCGACATCTTCGCAATAACGTTCTCGCCACATTATTATACTAAAGACTCCTAAATATCCTTATTCATTTTATGGATGGTTATTCGAAAAATTTATAAATTACATAACAATTTTATAAAATAATTAAATTCTTGTTGCTTCAGGTATTCAGATTCAAGACTGGCCAAATTGTTTAACGGGACCATACCCATAGTTTTAGATTCGTTAAAACAACATTATTTCATCGATAGAGATGGAGGAATGTTTCGACACATATTAAATTTTATGCGTAACAATCGATTGTTGATTCCCGATAATTTTGCGGATTTAGATTTGTTGTTGGAAGAGGCAAAATATTTTGATATAGCTCGTAAGTATTACATAAAGTTTAAAAAATGTGATTAATTAATGGATTTCTTAGCTATGATTAGACAATTGGAACAATTAAAGAAAGATAGAATAAAGAATGGTATTTTTATGGGGAATGGAAATCAATTTTTTAAAGAAAACCCAAGTAGATCATCGGGAACTGTTAATTCAAAGAACCCAGATAGTTTTGAATGTATAGCGTTGCATGTTTCGCCGGATTTGGGTGAACGGATAATGTTATCCGGCGATCGAGTGCTTTTGGAAGAAGTTTTTCCGGAAACGAATCAAGCGTTGATGGATACGAGATCGGGAGTTGCATGGAACCAACAGGATGGGCATCATGTCATAAGATTTCCATTGAACGGTTACTGTAAATTGAATTCAGTTCAAGCGATAACGCGTTTATTAAATGCGGGATTTAGTATAGTAGCCAGTAATGGTGGAGGTGTCGAAGGGCAACAGTTTTCCGAATATCTATTCGCAAGAAAAGTACCGCCCGGTTGACATTTACGGATGATATTATTCGACAATCATTTTGTACATTTGTACAGCGGCGAATTTACTAAAGTGTTTACTAAGGAGGTGTTCTCTTCATGAAAGAATTCCTTTTCTTGGGAAGAACTCTTTGTTTAAATAATAATAGTTGAAACGGTTTGTGTAAATATATGTTAAACATTGATTCAAAATAACTATCGGCAAACTAATAGGTATCGTATAATCACGAGTCGCTACTCTAATAACTAAAATGATGTAATAATTTACTGATCTCATCAAATATTTTAAACGGCTGTGATCCGTTTGATTTTGATAAAACACTATTGGCGACCGTGATTTGGATATTGTATATTAGTGGGAATTGACCAGTAATTTTGTTGTACGTCATGCTATTTAAAATAAATATTATAATTATATGTCATATTGTTTTATTTTTACCTTCTACTGGTGACGTACATATTCTATAACACAACTGGTGATGTGGTTCCATGCAGACCCCAACATTATTTTGAACCAGATCTCATAAATTTGCTGAAGTTAAGTTTGAAAGTTGTTTATGGGTTATATTTGAATAAATATTTTGCTGATAAGTTATCAAAAAAGTCTGTCAGCAAAATAAAGTATAAGTAAAAATGTACTAAGCAGACGTTTATTTCTAGCCATACATTTTTTATGGTCTTGAAGAAAATGTTGTTTATATCATTGTAATAAAAATAACATCAAAAAATAAAAAAAAGGAAGAGTAATGGTTAAATAGCCTCATAGACTGGGCAATGCGATGTGATGACTACTTAACTGATTTTTTCCATAATAATACTTTTCTACATTATTTGTTACTTTTTCGCCTTTACGTAGATCTTCATTGTCACTTTTAGACACTCTTAGAAGTGCTAGCCATGTTTGATGTACTAACATAACTGGTGACGTGATGATAGACAATAACGCATAAACTGGGCTCCTTATCTCTGTAAAAACACACAGAACGATACATACGCAGCTAATTTAAAGATACATGGATAGCACAAACTTTAAAATTCGCTGGGATCACAAAAGCACCACGTCACAAGTAGAAAGTTAAAATGTTTAATTACTTTCGTTGGTTTGAATTTATTAGAACTATTTCTTAATGTTTTCATGTAACATTTGTTTCGTCCAATATGAATGACAAAATAATGAGCGCGTATACTTCAAACGGGTTTTGGGGGGGTATGGAGGGCCGGAGATTCGCGGCGCCCGGAGGGTCCCGTACGTACGACGGCGGCGTCGGAGTCGGTCGTAGAGTTGGGAGGCCCTTGGGCGTCCAACCAGCCGGTGCCGGCGTCGGATGACTGGTTAGCCTGGGGGGCCCTCTCGTCTGGGACGGCCTCGGGGTCGCAGAGCAGCCCGAGGAGTCCCGCTCCAAGGGCCGCAAGCGCTGCGCAACCCGGCTCGTTAGGGCCGCGGGGCGCCAGCCCTGAATTGGTTCTTTGCCTGGCGATATTGAGTTCAGAGTAACCATGGAGATGGCCCCCGGGCGCCATATACTAAAACACGGTGAACTGCCTGCCGGGCGCGCACCTTTGTTATTCGACTTTTTGTTCCGAATAAATAATGTGTGCAGAACGGGTTAAAATTTAAATTACTTTGGGTCTCGCGTTCGCCTAGTGATAGGTACTTAGGCGATTTTATGTAACGAACGAGTTACTTTACCAAAAATAAAGTTGTCTTTATTCTCATAAAAACATTAAGCAGTTTACTCAAGTCATGTGTTCATAGTCCATTATATTCATTGTCCAGTTTATCAATACTCAAATTCAATTACATTTTTTCATGCATCATATAGTGTCTCTTATTTCAATCACTTCAAGTATTTATTCGTTGCTAAGTAGATATAAGCCCGTTTACAATAATTTGAAAATCATAATTTATAAATAAATAAAATATAATAAAAATGAATAATAATATGTATAATATAAATAATACAAAATTTGTACATAAAATTAAGTCAAATAATTGCTGTAGTAACAACTATTAAATATTTCGAAAATTATTCTATTAATACCTGAGTGATCTAAGATGAAGAAGAAAACCCAAGAGGGGAAGGAAGAAGTTAGTTATCCGTTTTCTTCCGTTTGCTTCTTTCCTCTACTGTTGTATGTAACTATGTACCTATGTATAAGTATATCTCTTCACAGTTTACTTAGTATTACTTCAATCTTTGTTCACTTCTTTTTTTCCGTTTCCAGTCTCTGTTCAGCCTCATTCTTCTATTTTCAATCTCTGGTCAATCCATTTTCCCCAATGTTCACAAAAAAACAGTGAAGGTATTTAAAGCTCCTAGAAGGTTAAAATCTTGATCGCAATCATTATTAGAGTGTCACGAAATTAAAAATCTATGATTAATATACTAAATATGAATACGTTCTTTGCGTTTTCGTGAAAATTCATACCATACTAAAGTTGCCTGTAGCGTTTTGCTTTAAACATTATTAGATTTCTTTTTCATTGCATTGCGCACTTATAACGCTGTCTGTACTTCCGTTTGGCGTAATCTATCTATAAATGATTTGATTCACAAATCAAATCTTCGACTTTCGGGTCAAACGATTGAAATAAAAACGCTGTGACAAAATGATATTTTGCTGGATTGATTCGAAGAAAATCATAAAGTTGTGTGCTATAAAAGAAAATACAGCGGAATTTTAGTGATCAAGTTGATTATATGATTTAGTGATCATACAAGCAATTTTCAAAGATATTTAATAAGAATCCAACCCTAACAACATCTAACACACATAGAGACAGAAAATGCATTGTTAGGATTATCGTACGTATAAATTTCAATCTGTTTTTGAAGTATATATTACTGTTTTAAAAAACTAAAAGCAAAAATTATTGATGATTTAAAAGGGCAATAATTGTAGTTAAATATTGATGTCCAAAAAATGCACAAATAAGCATTGAAAGAACTTAAATCTTATCAGATAAATATTTAAAGTTATTGATTGATTTGGTTTAAATTGTGTTGGGGTACAACTTTGAATTATGATTGATTACATTGATTACGTTACGATTATGTTAAGTTATTAAGGTTAGGCTTGGATTTGGAATACATTAGAGTTGGGTGAGATTGAATTGGTACTAATGCATTCTATATCAATACTCTACACCTTAGCTTTTCTGACGACCAAATTGTCATTGCGTTATTGAATATGTGATGTGAAAATTAATCAAAGAGTATGAAAAATGGGGCTTGAGGAGAACAATATTGGCCTAACTTGAACAAACAAAACATCAAACATTGCAGCTCATACAAATACCTGGGCGAAAACCTATGAAGAATAGCAGAAAAAGAACACTAAAAGTCAAAAAAAGGATTATTGGAAATTATGAAATAGCTGAAATTGAAAGAGTTAGCCAATAAAAGCAATCGAACTATACGATTCCTTATTGGACGAAGATGGGAAGAAAACATTAACTAAATATGTCTTGAAAGCTAGACTATCACAAAAAGCTAAGCTTAGATTAAAGACTACCTATGCAAACAATGAGCTTTTGATAGTCGACTTTAAAAAGCATTTTATTGCTAAAAAATCAGCTATCAGTTTATCAGCGCAGTTACATAGCGCAAAGTAAGGGAACAATTCAGTAGAAAAATTTGGTGAAATAATCGAAGAACTACTTAACATTGTGCGACTTAACATTGTCACAGGCAGGAGAAAACACAAACACTGAAGTTGTTGGTCTTTTGAGAAATGCTAACGATAAAATGACAATTAACGTATTTGCGAATGGATTGCAAAATAAGGATCTACGAGTAATAATTAAAGCTAGAAATTACGATAAACTATCAGAAGCAGTTCAAGGAGCTAAAGAAAAGGCATATACTAAACCAGAAAATTCTCAAATCTTTTATGTCAATAGACGAGGAAACATATCCAATAGAGGCAGTAATAATGGTAACTACAGGGGACAATTTTATCGACAAGGTAATAGTCAGAATTACCAATACCACCAAAGATCATAAGAGCGAGACTTTCAAACCGGACAAAACCAAAGTAACAGAGGAAACGATAAACAAAATTCCAGTTACTTAATTTGAATTCAGAAAAATCTAGATTGGAAAGGATTACAAACAAAGACAAGACATTGTAGATACATAAGAACTGCCTAACTTAGATGGTAGGGACATGTGCAAAAAGTGGGTCAAGATCGACTACCAAAGAAAGTAGTATAGGATACCACGCGGAAGAAGAAGGAGAAGAAGACCACGGAGGAGTTGGAGAGATGAGGATGAAAGGGCTAGAGGAGAAGACGCGGAGAAATAGAAACCAGTAGAAATTAGGAATCGTAAGCCGAATAACGTTATAACACTAAAAATGCTATCAAAAAATAGATATATTGGTTCTTTTCGGTCATGTTTTTTTCAATCCATTCTTGCTATAGCAACCTTTTTCCAGTCTTTCCCCTTCCTACCTAGAAAAAGTTCTTTTTTCTTCTTTAAGTCTCTGAGGTCATTCCGCCTCTTCCTCTATTGCCAATGTTTTTGTTTCCAATCTCTGTCAAATCTCTTTCTCACCTTTGTAGTTTCTTTCCAGTCGCCTATATCTCTACCCAGACTACTTACCTCCTTTCCAGTCTTTGTTCAGTCTCTTTTGTTTATTTCCATTTTCATTTCAGTCTTCCTCTTCTCTATCCACCCCCTTTCTTTCCATCAGGGTGGCGGGAGATTCGGAGCGCCTCTTTTCAGTCAGCTTCTTCTCAATGTATTGTTATTCTTGCTATAGTAATCATTTTCCAGTCTATCCCCTTTTCAGTCCTTATTCGGCCTCTTTCCTCTACTGTTAATGTCTTCTTTGATTTTCTTATATCTGTTCAGTCTCTTTCTCGCTTTGGAAAGAAATTGCTCTCCTCAGTCTACTTCCTTCCTTTCCATTTCAATCTTTTTTCTTTATTTCCAGTGTCATTTCAGTCTTCTCCTTCTCTTTCATGTCATTATAATCGTTTTAAAGTTTCTCTCCTTTCTACCAAGTCTTTTTTCTGTATCCAGTCTCTGTTTAGCCTCATTTTTCTATTTTCAATCTCTGCTCAATTTGTTTGCTCTATTAACACTCTGTTTTCAGTCTCCCACCTTTCTGTCCAGCCTCTTTTTTTTTCAATCTCAATAAGGTTTTACTGTAGGGAAAATAAATCTAAATGTTAGTTAATAACAAAACATATTCATTTTCTAGAAATTTATTGCTGGATTTCTTTATCTCTTTGCATTTGGCGCGATTACATCAAATATTAAATATTTTTGTTGATCATTAAAATCTAAATCCTTTTATTTGATACATCAAAATAATCCATAAAAAATTCTTTGCGACCTATAAACATTTTAAATTAGTTTTATATTGTAAATATGTTTGTTCATACTAATAACTAGAAGAGCAACATTAATTTACCCTCTAATATTTTACAAACTGCATTTATTGCACAATTTTAATCTTTATAATTTTATCTCTAAAATTTAAATGAATACTAGATTAATATAATAAACCTTATGATATATACTCAATCTGAGGGGATTATTAACTTTAAAAAATGATAAAAGTGGCGTTTAAAAAAATATTACCAACTTTATGACTTATTTTCAACACTAAAATATGGTGATAACGTAATCATTTCCGTATTAAAACACTCAAAAATAATCTTGTTTGTGAGATGTACGGATTAATTTATCGTGTTTTTTTTTGAATGTCCTATTCGAACTAAGCCTTATCTAATCTGATATATGGCAATATAGTATGATACATTTTGAGTTAACCGATAGTCATTCCGTAGCTGTTATAAACAACGCAATGGCAAATGTTGTAGTGAACATAAAACCTTTAAAAGATGAATCTTCATATATTTCACAACAACCAACGCGACCATTTTCTTCGCGACCTTATTCGCAAAGTAGTAGTTCTTCGCAGCAACAAGAGTTGAATATAGCAGCTCTTTTACCTAGTCAAAATGCATGTAAGACATAAAACTGTTTTTGTTATAACAAAGGATGTGATTAGCGTTATCTGGATTTAACAATTTATATAAATATTTTCTTTAAGTTGCAACGGTTAGAGTACGTAACAAAGGGGATAAAAAATTCTTCAATACCGTACGTAGTGTTATGTCAATTTCAAGTCAAACGAGTTTTGCGTTGGAACCTAATCGTAATGAAACCTATATGACTTTAATGGAAATTAAAGAATTGCCGATTTCAATGTCGGAGAAGAGGCAGCAAAAATGCGTAAGTACAATGATATAAATTGTGATGTTATTTATTTATTATTTTTCTTAGAATTTTGATGACAGGAGCACATCTTTCAATATGAATCGGAAAGAGAGCACAAGCTGTATGTCGGGATTTCAACGAAAATGGAATGATTTTTGGTCAAAATTTGATATTTGGAGAAAGGATATGAAAAAAATTGAAGGGAATTATGGAAGAGGCGTTGTTGCGTATTTTATTTTTTTAAAATGGCTCACGTTATTGAATTTATTTAATTTTATAATTATATTTGGGTTAATCATTATACCAAGATTTTACATATCAAATCCTTCAAGTGATAATTCAACCACAGCTTCAGACTGCTGTAATAGAAACCACTCTGATACATGCAATAATGAATATTCTTCTAACATAACAATGTCCAACTCCACAAATCGATTTATTGACAACTTACAAGAGTTTGTAGAAGGAACTGGATGGATGGAATACACAGCACTCTTTTATGGATATTATCAAAGAAGCGGTGAACACTCTCTAGAACCGATTGGTTATATAGCAGCCATTTTATTAGTTCTTTTCATATCGTTGTTTATGATCGTACGGGACACTTCGTTAGGAATTAGTTATAAATTTGATGATGGTGACGTTCGATTTTCTGCATACTGCAATTTAATTTTTGGGGGTTGGGATTTTTGTATAGATAACTTCAAAGCGGCTGCAGACAAAAGGAAATTAATTGCGATTGAAATTAGCGATAGAATAGCAACTGAAAAATTATTAGATGCACAAAACCAACGTTCAAAAACAGAAAAAAATAAGTTATTTTTAGTACGATTCGTACTGAATATTATTCAAATATGCTTTTTATTTTGTTGTGGTTGGTTAGTGTACTTTGTTTATAAAACTTCAAGAGACAAATTGAAAGAAGATTTAAAAGGCATAGAAAACTTTCTTTACGAGTTTTTGCCATCTATCACTATAGTCTGCATGAATCTGATAGCCCCAATCATTTTTAAAATATTTATTAAGTTTGAACAATATAGTCCTAATTTTGAACTAACGATATTATTAGTTCGAACAGTATTTTTAAGAATGGCATCGTTGATTGTTTTTTATGCATCTATGTATATTAAAATACAAACTTACACACCAAATTCTGGAATTGATGAAAGTGATAAAGATTGCAGTAAATGTTGGGAATCATTTGTAGGCCAACAAATATATCGTTTAGCACTTACAGATTTTGCCACACACATCATTCTAACATTTTTCGTTAATTTTCCTCGTGCATACATAGCTAAAAGATATAAAAATAATAATTTTATTCATTTAGTATGCGCACAAACTTTTGATTTATCAAAACACGTCCTTGACATAGTTTACACCCAAATGCTGTGTTGGTTGGGTTCGTTTTACGCCCCCATACTACCTGGAATGTTTATAATCATTTTCTTCGCAATGTTCTACATCAAAAAGTTTGCTTGTATGGTAAATTCAAACCCGGGAATGATTTTGTATCGAACTTCCAGATCGAAATTTATGGCGATTCTACTCCTAGCGTTTATAGTCGCTGTGTTTCCAGTGTTATGGACCATGGGGGAGGAACCTCCCAGCACCGTATGTGGACCGTTTCGACATTATGACACAATTTGGGGTGCCGTCACTGATAGATTTTTTAGCCTTCATGATACTAAAGAGAGTTGGATAAAATTGATTGCTGATTACTTAACTACCATTTACGTAGGTTTCGTTTTCCTGATCATTTTGATTTTGGGCATAATGTATTACGTCGCATTGAAAACGGCGAACACAAAAATGACGAAAGTTCTCAAAAAGCAATTACTGTTAGAAGGACGTGATAAAAAATTTTTAATAGGAAAACTTACAGAGATACTAAAAGAACAACCAAAAATGAGTTAAACATCCTTTTAATATAATACGTGTATTTAAATTGTATATTTATTGTAAAAATTAGATGTGATATTTATTGGATATTTTAAGATTTAATGTTAATTATCTATTACTGTGATGTAAATAAAGAACTATATAATTATGTAATTATTAACTCGAAATTTATTTATTATTAATACAAAAATATAATTTATGGTAACAATGAGGTAAGGCACAAAATAGTTTAAACATTATCATTCTTCTACTATTGGAGAATGAAGCTGAAATAAAATCAAAAAAATAACAGTTTAGTTTTACAAAAATTTGTTATGTTTTGGACATAAATATAAGTACTAATTACTATAAGTTAAAAGTCACAAAATTTATTATAATTATTCAACAATTACGTAATATTTGTAAATTAGACAAGAAATGTGGTTCGAGCAAAATCTAACTTTTTATCACTCAACATAAAATGATATTATTTCGAAAACCATCTAAACTTAGCACAAGAGACAACCTCTGCTATCATTAATGGAGGAAATACATCATAGAATTGTTCCTAAACGTCTTAAGAATGTAATATTAAAGCACAAATCGAAGTACTTCTAGATTCATTTTCACTAAGATTCCTCTCAATGTGGATTAGTGATGGTTATTTTGAAGTGCCAATATTATAAGGAGATAAGGATGATATTGAGAGTTGCATTTGAATTTGCTTAAAAAAATTACCGCTGCATGCTTTAAATAAATTACAACCTCTGAATCGTGAAGTATTCGGGCCATTTAAAACTTTTTTTAATCAGGGTGCAGATTCTTGGATGTTATCCCATCCAGGTCACACGCTAACAATTTATGATCTCCCAGTAATCTGCTGTGTTCCTACAAATACAAAATCTGGTTTCAAATGCACAGGTATTTCACTTTTTGATAGAGCAGTTTTTACAGAGGAAGACTATTTGTTGTCTTATGTACAAACAAAACAAGAATGATGAAAATCTTCCAGCAACAAGCTCAACACCTTCAACCAATACATCATTTCAAGCTACACCAATGAAGCAGTGAAAGCAGGTGAAAGAAAAAACACAAGACGTGGACCCCAAAAAAGGAAAAGTATTATCGCCACTGACACGCCCGAAAAAGATGAAATAGCTAGTAGAAAAGAAAAGAAGTTGTGTAAGACATTAAAACCAAAAGTTGAAGAGGCAAAAAGGCGAATTGTTGATGATGAGGTGTCAAGGAAAAATATTTTTGAAAAAGATAAAGCAACGGGGAAAGTTTTGAATGATGAATCGCCTGATGAGTAGAAATCAGACAGTTCTGATGACAATTTAAATTCTTCAAATGAATAATTTTATCATTGCCAAAGTTGTATCAGTAAGTACTGGCATTTTTTTATATAATAAAAAAAATAAAAATTGTCCAATGTCTCCCCTACTATACTTCTCTGTACATATTTTTATTTCAATTCTTGATTTAATGCTCCTATTTTTTGTTCTGATTAGAATACTTTTTATAGAAAGTATAATAATAATCCGTTAGTATTTGACATGTGGATGTGAGATTAGATATTATCCATCAATGTTGTTGTTGCAATTGTAAATGACTCAAGTTTGTTTAAAGTGTGAAATGGATTTTATATCCCTTCATCATAGAGCGGAATTTCGCAGTCAACACATTTAGTTTTAGCATGTTGACAAAGAACTAAGCCAGCGAGACAGCATCCACCTCTTGATTCTATTGATATTTATTGAAATCTATTTTTATTAACATAACTACAATGGATTAAAATAATAGATTCTACACTCGATATAGTTTGAATGATTTTTAAAACTAGAATGTGATGCAACTATAATTGTGGCTGTATAATTTAATACTCGGCAGTGTTACTTAGTAATAGAAGCTATCCTCCAGTATAAGCGAACCTTCATAGCCAAAGCTCATAAATCAGCTAGTAGTCATAAAGTAGAGAAATGTCGTATAGCAGTTCTTTTCTGTTGCAGTTATATGAAACCATTAACAAATCAAAATCACCACGCTCATTCAAAGGAATAAACATTAAAAACCTTCCCGTCTATTGAATGGCTAATAAAAAAACATGGATCACTGCCATAGCTTTAAATAGACGGTCCATAACTTCTTTGTTTCTGATGTCAAAAATTATTTAACCAATAAGGGATTGCCGTTTAAGGCGTTTCTTAAACTTTTTGATTAGTGGAACCCTTTTTACTGACCACATTTATCGTGGTAAAAATAATATTTATTTGTTTCAAAAAGTACTTTCAAAATTAATACAAAAGTTATTAAAATAACGTTTAATGGAGAAAGTGGCGCTGCTTTTTATTACCGCAGATATACTTAATATTAGGCTTTATGGATGAAAATTGAATTCTCATGTCAGGTTCGGCGTCAAGTTTATTACGATATTTATTTTTTGTCGACACATAAGCTGAGAATCCCATTTCATACATATATATGTAACAGCAAATAGTAAAAGTGCCAACACGCCCTTTTGCGACAATTGAGGATATTCATCTTTCAAACTGCACCAAAATTGCACTAACTAAAATTTTTTGCAACGATGAATGAGATGCCATTTCAATCAAAGTTTCATATTATTTTGACGATATGGTTGAAGGTCGTGTATTGATAATGAATGGATTTTTAATCCACAGTTCTTGTTGATATTTAAGCTGCCCGTCATTCGGAAAATATTCATTAAAAGCCTTTCAGGTGTTGAAGAACTTCTTCAATAAATATTTGCCCTATTTCAATCTTTTCCTATTCCAAAAAGTCTTTTATAGTTGGGAAGCTATCATATTCATTGGAGCGCACACAAATTATCCAAAATTCTATCTTTTTCTTGAAAGCAAGAATTTTTTTGGTAGCAGTAAATACATTTACCTGTTTTCTCTGAAGTGTTAAATTAAGATCTTCGTAAAAATGTCGCTTAAACATGCAATTTTAAGCAGCCAATTTTTATCAAATAATCGATCTTTCAATTCGAAATTATGTTCTAAAAAAGCACGTACTTCGTCCCTTAGTTTAAACAAAACGGGTTAGTATCTTTCCTTGTGACAACCATCTGACTTCAGTATGTACAGAAAAGATATTGAATAAACGAATATTTAGAGGCCGCGATTTTATGAAGTTAATGATTTTGATCACCTCATCAAGAGCCTTCTTATAACTGGGGGATAATTTCTTTGCAGCAAGTGCCTGCCTATGAAGCATACAGTGACTGCTAGAACAGTTTTTGGCGATATTTTTAATAAGCTGTACTGTGCTACTTATGGTTTTTGCTCTATCTGTACAGATATCGATGCAGTTGTCTTATGGTATTTCATTGTGTACAAGAAAAGAAGTTAGGAGACTAAATATTTCTAGTCCAGTAGTATGTGTTGGTAGATATTTGCATAACAGAAGATCCTCTGATATTGTGTTTCCATGCTGGTACCTAACGATGACAATTAATATTGCGAGTCCAGCTACATCGGTAGATTCGTCCATTTATAATGCAAATCTGCATGATTTCAGGCGAAAAGTAAGTGCATTCTTTATAATGGTTGCTAAATTTCTGATGCGCTGAGTTATCGTGTCATTCGATACTGGGATCTTACCTATTTCTTCTGCTGATTTTTCATCTAACACACATTTTACCATCTCCATATCGCATGATTTTAGTAGATTTTTCGCAATTGAGTAGGCTCCACCGCGAGAGCTATTTGATAACTGACCAAGTAAGAAGCCTCAGTTGCTTTTTCATTGTCAAAGTTCGTCACACTTCGCTTGAAAAATTCAACGTTTTTATGTTTAAGGTCTTCATGAACAGATTCCAAATGTCGACGCATCTTAACTGGAGCCATAGAGCTATTTGGAAGAACATTGCTGCATATAACACACTGCGGATTAGCATTACTGTTAAGAAATACTAAGGATATATAACTTTCATCATACTTCCTATGTTTTTTAGTAACTATTTTGGATTCAACACTTGTAGAAGCATTTATAACTGGCTTATTTTGAAACGCTGCTCTAGGTCATCCTGCAGATGTACAACACGAAAATGTAAACGTTGTTTTTTTCACAGAAGAATATAATTTCATTATTACAGCGGTTAGATTAAGGAATGATTAACTTTTAAAGCACTGTATATCAGGCAAATTTTCAGGTTTATCTTAGAACAAATGGAGAATGGTGAATCTCTTACTGTGGTGAATGCTTGGAAGAAATTTACAATTTTAGATTGTGTTAAGCATGTTGGACTTTCATAAACTCCGATCAAACAATCAATGATAGATAAATGTTGGAAAGTAGTATGGCCAGATATAAATGAAGTTTTGCACTTCATTCTGATTTGCAGATCACTGAATTGGCCCATATCATAGGAAGAGAAGGTTTTGAAGATTTAGCTGAGGTAGATATTGAAGAAATAATAGCTGATGAAGAACTCAATGAAGATGATTTAATTAACATAATTCATGAAACAAACAAACATGATGAAGACAATGTTACAGATGAAGAGCAATCTGAACCAGTTGCGTTCACAGCAAGAATCATAAGTGTAGGACTTGATTTGGGAAGAAAATTGGGCAACCATTTCATACAATATGAAATCGAGCTCTCGAATTCCAGACCTTCGTAAATGCTTAAATCAATATGAAGAAGTCTATAAAGATTTAGCAAAAAAATCTACGCAATTGTTAATTACTGATTTCATGACAAAGTCTTGTCAACCCGAGATCTTCCCTAATTTATCAACCATTGAGCCAGAATCGCATCAAGAAAGCTCAAGTGATGAGTCACTCTCATCACACCTATCAAAAAGAAAAGAATGATAGTTCATAAAAGTTATGAGTCATTATACTTACTTATAATTAATTTTTAAGGTTAGTTTTGTTTTTTAATTTTTTGTTCCTAATATATATTAAAATAAGTTAAATATGTACTTATATTACTTTCATATGTTTGTTGTTTTATGAACTAAGTACAATTTTGAGTTTTCCAAGATGTCTTAGTTTTATTTTAATTAAATAAATGACTAAATCATGCACATTTTGGTTTTTTTTTTCGTTTTACACAATTTTATTTAGCAAAATCCAAGATTTCAATTTACACAATTTTGTGCAGAACCTATCTTCCATGTAAATTGGGGGATAAGTGTACTTGAAGATGACAAATTTACTTCCCTCCATATCCCCAATACAGATTTTATTTTTAACAATCAACAATAATCAAATTTACAAATATTGCATTACATTGCGTTCACAGCAAGAATCATAAGTGTAGGATTTGAACTGGAAAGAAAATTGGGCAACCATTTCATACAATATGACACAAATGTTGATGAGTCACTCTCATCACACTTATCAGAAAGAAACGATTGATAGTTCATAAAAGTTATGATAGTGATTATACTTATAATTAATTTTTAAGGGTCTTTTATTTTTAATTTTTGTTCCTAATGTAAAATAAGTTAAATATGTACTTATATTACTTTCATATGTTTGTTGTTTTATGTACTAAGTACAATTTTGAGTGTTCCAAGATATCTTACTTTTATTTTACTTAAATAACACATTTTGGCGTTTTTTTCATGTTACACAATTTTACTTAGCAAAATTCAAGATTTCAATTTACACAGTTTTGTGCAAACCCTATCTTCCATGTAAATGGGGAGATAAGTGTACTTGAAGATGACAAATTTACTTTCCTGAACATCCCCAATACAGATTTTATTTATAATAATCAATAATAGTCAAATTTACAAATATTACATAAAGATGTTGAATTGCTATAAGCTTTGCCATTTTCTTATAGTGTTACTTCTGAAAGTTAACAAATAAAAATGAGATAATAACAGTTTATTACAAAACCTTTTTTCCAACTAAACTTCAAAACATCATGTTATTACTAATAAAATAAAAATGTTTAACTTACTACTTCAGCTATTTCAATCCATTCAATAGCTTGAATAAAAGAGTCATTCTTTGTAGGCGTTTTATTCCAATTCCAATAAATAACATTACTAAATTTGTTAGTTGCATAAAATTTCCGATCTTCCTTATCAGTATCAGGTCGAATGCTTTCGTGTAATACAATACCTACATATTCTTGTGGAATATTTACTTTTATTCCATCCAGAGGATGTCCACGAAAAGAACAAGTTAAACCTATGATAAAAAATATAACAAATTAAATAAAAGCCCGCCTTATTTTTATTATCATCTTATTCTTACCATTGCTTTCTTTGGTTTTAACGTAATTATTAAAGTATTTAGTAATCTTTGCATCGTGATCCGCGTGAATTTTAAATGGTACAGATTGAACTTGAGAACTAATAACGTCGGTTACTAAACCCACCTTTGCGTTTATGTGAATAACCATTTCGTCGTTATCAAACAAGAATAAATAACACAACCACCTGGTGCTTAATATGTGTTAAAATTAAGAGAGGGAGTTGCTCGTCGTTTATGTTAACAGTTCAACCAATAGATTACGCTAGTATTATGACTTATAAGGAATTTTAGGGAATTCACAGCAAAAATCTTAATAATTAATTAATAAATTGTTGGATTTTTTTGAAACACGTGCCCTAAAATTTAAACTAAATCATTATAAATAAACACTTCAACATAAATAATGTCAAAGTGTTTGTGTTATTTATTGTTTATTTGATGGATTGATTAATCATGTTTTAAGTAGGTATCTATAGAAAATTTATTGATAAGATGAAATCGAAACTTTATTCATAAATTGTTTATTATAATTTGCAAAGAAAACGTAAAATAAATAATTTTGTTTTCTTAGCATTGGTCCATAATGTTTTCAATTCAATTTTGTATTCTTATAAAAATAAAGATTTTTAAATACCTACTTAAAACTTCAAAACACTTCAGATTGTGCAATAAATCCAATTAAATAAGAGCAAATTCAATAAAATTAATCAGTCTTTTACTTTAAGTACTCAGATACTTTAAATCGAAGTAAACACATTAAAGTTAAAAAAATCAAATAACTTGGTATATAAGCGAGGATGGAAGTCGTTTTTGTTATAGTGACAAATAGTAAACCAGAATCATGGCGAAATTTTTACTTGCATTGTTGGCTTTGATTGTGTGTTTTGCTGCTATTTTAGCAGAATCCCTCACTATTGAAGATCGAAATGATAAGTGTAAGTTATTTTTTTTTATTTCAATAATTTTAATTTTAGTAACTGGGCATTAAAACACCCATTAACTATTAACCCAAATGACCCATTAACTTGGGTCATTTGGCAGAGATGGCTTGTGCGATAAAATGATCCAGTTGCTGATACTGCTTACTGTTTAAGTTAAGTGTATCTTATGTAATTTTGTATTTTTATCTATGGCAATAAATGGTAAATAAATAAATAAAATAAAATACAAAATAAAATAGTATATATAAAATAGAAATGAGTCAAAATTAGAAATATACAGAAAAAATTACTTCATAATTAATATGCTTATTGTATAAAAGTAGTAGAAACAGCACTTAAATAAATTGATTTTATACCTTTTTCATCTGGTCAATATTTGCAAAACTTACTTCAAGTAGTTCCAATATGGTAACTAAATATGGTGATTTTGAGAAATGTCTAAGAACAAGCTTTTAAATACAAATACAGCTCGACAAACTCAGTCTGACGGCTGTAAGGTGGCATGGTTCATATTTATGGCATTAATTACTATGGAGGACTTATTAAAAACGAGTATTATTCTAAGAAAAATTAAACAATTGTTAGTTCGAACCTAAAGAATTTTCAGACAGCTCTGGAAAAGTTTCCTAATCACTGCATTCAATCACTTCAATATCAGAAAGGTCTTCATTGCCATCATTAACCTCCACATTTGTGGCAGAATCTAATAATTTTAAATTATAAGCAATGAAAGTTATTTTACCAGCTCTTTCAGCTGTAAGTCAATTTCTTTTCGCAATGTGAATATAGCTGTAGGTGCTTCTTTCTGTTGCTGCACTCGACGTAGGCATACTTAATGTCGACCCAAAATTTGATTTTAAAACATATGGTTTTCCAAATAACCCTTTTTTAGATCGATGAAGTGCCAATTCTGCCATTACCTCTGCAGACTCATCTGGACTTGTTACAGTAGTCATATTGTCTATAAAATCTGTTCCTTTCTCCTCTATTAAGATGAATTCCATTAAAATTTGGATCTAAAAATGTTTGCAGCAAAATGGATTGGATTTATTGCCATTTGCTTTCTCTTAACTAAAAAGTTTTTTACTTCTCTTTCCTCTTGGTTAAGTAAACGGCTTGAGGAAAGGACTGATTCAAAATGACTTTTCAACTCATAAGAGCATGAAAAATGGTTGCCAGTGATTATTTTCAACAATGGCAAATGGAGTACCTATAGCATAAATAGCCCTAGCTAATAGTTGATTTACCTTCTCTTGTTCTTTTGATGAAACATCAATAAATCCATCGAGTGTGGAACTCGATGAGGGTCAACTTCTGATTCTGATGTATCATCTACAACCATTTCATCGTCATCTAAAACTAAAATTTAAGAGCACGATGAGAAAATTACCTCGGAGAATTTTCTAGTTCTCGAGTTGCTCGAATTGTTCAGTGATACTGGCCAAATGCTGTACTGGCTTTCTTGGTATCAATAACAAGTTGCGATTTCTCCACTGATTTGATGCCTAGAATAATACGCACTTATTTAACTTCTTTTGACAAGCACAGTTGATTTGTAGCGAGTAATGGTGTTCTATGATACCGAGTCTAAAAGAGTTAATTCTGTATTTTTACATTTACCAGAAAGTGCGTGTTATCACACCAGTTCTACTATTTAATTTGGGTAGAAACATTGTACTTTAATGATACTTCATTAATAACCAAAAAGGTCGTCTTTTAACATTTACTTGACAAAGTAAAACTAGAAAATAGAAATACTAAAATAAAGTGCGTATCTTCAGTGTTGATTTTGGGGAGCCTCGTTTATGATTTATTGAATTCTGTACCTACACCACTAATGGGTAGCAAGTTCGAGTCGACACTCTTTCGGTTAGGGTTTTGTTTCGATCTATTTAATAACAAGTTTGAAACTGATAAGTACAATTCCTTACCTACAACCCAAAAAGCGCAAACATTGCAATTACAACCTATGCTGAAATTCCAGTTACCTGATCTAGCGTATCAATTCACTGGAACGGATTAGTCACCTCCCTATGATTGATGAAACACCGAATTGTAATAGTCGCTATATACCTCCTATATGTTGTGGTAATAGGTAGACGTATTTAAACACATTACAGTCTGTTCTGATCTTTCCTTATCGGAACAACTAAAAATAGATCCGCTTAAATCACTGAGTACTTGAATCGCGTGACTATAGAGATTGCATCATCACCTACATATGAATGTATCATTTCGGCAAGGAGGTAACCATAATTAAAGATAGTCTACGAGATGAATCACCGCCGTTTCTATAGCGCATATCAAGACAGCTCTTTCTGCACAGCCACCCTTTCAGGATCCCTTCATCTATCTACGCCGGCTGTTACAGCTGCAGGAATTGAAGGGGCAGCAAATTTTTCCTTCTATTTGTTGAACTATTCAGTGTCTCTCTTCACAGCTCCAAAAAGCATGCAAAAGCTCGCCTCGTATTAGAAGAGACAACGATCAATTGGCCACCTAAATGACGATTATGTCCCACTAAAATACGAAGCATACTTTCTTTATGTAAGACATCTGCTTTGCAACTCAAAATCTAGATGTGGAATTTTGATCAGGTCGCTTACCAGACTTCAGTTATCCTTCTTTACTAACCAATTTGATATAGCTTTACTGTTAATTCACTCTTAATTATAGAATTCTTTTTTTGATCGATTCTCTAAGAGAGGGTTTTCTTGATATCCACCGCTTGTATTGCTGTGTGAGCTTTGACATTCGTCGTTGAGGTTCGAGGAGAACTTCCTTCTCTTTTGACTAAAATCCCATTCATTCTGCCGTTTTAGCAAAGTTGTTTAGAGAAATAAAAAATACAGAAACCTCCATAATCTGCTATGATTCGCCAGATAGTATCACGCATGAAATGAATCATCCGCAGTTTATTTTGACTTATTTTTAATTATTTTTAATATAAATTTTAAGACCTAACTAATTGTTTTTTCAAATATTTTTTTTAGCAAAATGTTATGTTGTTGGGGTACTTTTTTGTAAATTGAAATGTTTGATTATGGGTTACAAAGATGGATATTGCAATGACGATGGAATTTGCGTCTGCGTAGATCGAATTCAAACCAAGTAAATTTATCCCTAAGAAGAAGAAGGAATAAAAATAGATATTGTATTATTGAAATGTTTAGTTTTTAGCATAATTACATTTTAAGTAGATATGTAAGTGTTATATACTTATAATAAAACAATTTATTAAATACAGAAAAGTAACTTATGAAACATGAAATCCATTTCAACCTCTTCCTGAAAGTTTGTTCCAATTAATTCCATGAACATTATCACAAATACATCGCGTATGAAAGTTGCAAGATTCGTCGTAATAACCCTTTCCTTTGCAGTTCGGGGGACAATGTTCTTGAGGCATCACGCCATTTCCGCAAATTTTGTTATAATAATCTGAAAGATTTTTCATTACGTTTTGAATTATTAAAAAAATACTTACCTCGCCTATTTGATCCAGACCAGGCGAAACACACCATAGCCATAAAAATCGTCAGCAAAAAAACTCGTCGAAACATTTTATTATTGGTTAAAATTACTCGAAGGAATATGATTTTAATCGAAGAAATTTTCTTTTATATACCAAGTTCAAATTTATAGCCAACATTTCGATTGTGGTTATAAACAAAGAAACTTTAATAGTTATTTTACGGTTTTATGGAAGCAGTGTAAATAAGAATTTTTATTTAAATTAGATTCATAAAGAGAAATAAAGCGACGAAAAGATTTCCATTTCAAACAACACATTTTTTTTTAATTAATAAATAAAAAGGATCAAATAAAAAGTATTAATATAATATCCATACATTTATTACGCCCCTTTAGTTATGAAAGTTACTGAATTTCTTCAGAGGGCTCATCAGGGTCATCGCGATTTGAGTTATTTTCTAATTCAACATTTTCTGATCTCGCATTTTCATGAGGTAGTTCCTGAGATTGACTTCCGTATGTTTCGTGAAGATTATTTAATTTATTAAATAAAAGGGCTCCCTTTAACGAAGTTTTAGCTACACTGAAATACAATTCACTACATTGTTCTTCTAATCGTTCCATTGGAGCTTCTCTTCTGGCTACAAATTCTTCCGCAGCCTGTATTGGATTTTTCACCACTGTTTCAGTAGAAGTTACATTTTCAAAACGATTTTTGGTGCCTATTTCAGCTTCTTCAGGAACTTTTTCATTTAAATCTTCTTGTTTTAAGTTTGTAATATCATTTTCTAGGAATCTAGATCAACCACTTCAATATTTTTATTTTGTATTTCAGTGGTAGAGCCTGAATTAAAAGAGCCAACGATTTCCTCAACTTCAGACTGAACAACGTCTAAAATAGAACATTTATTTACATTCTGATCCTCCACTTCTTTAAATTCTTCAACTACTTCATTATTATTTTTTATTCCTTGTTCTGTTTCTTCGTTTACATCGGAATCTGGAATATCATCGTCACTAGAAGTTTTTTCATCGCTATAACCACTTTCAACGCTATTATTAATGTCGTCTATTAAGTGTTGTTTTCTAGATGCAAATTCGGTTCTTAATTGTTTCCATTGTCTTCTGTGCTAGTATTTTGTTCCCTGGCAATCGGTACATACAAGACTCTATATTGGGATTGCGTCGGCTTATAGAAGCGTATCGGTGGAAGTAATTGCGGGACTGAAACCAATTGACCTCCTGGTGGGAAAAAGGAGTACGCTTCAGGAAAGAGGCAAGAATTACAAGGAAGATATAACAGTTATTTATATTACAACTGGGCTAGAAACATAATTATTGTACGAGTGTGGGGAATTATAATCGCACGAGTACTGTAATTGTGCTGTAGCCCAAGTGTGATATACAACATTTTATTTACGACTGCTGAAAATTACTTAAAAATCAATTTCTTTAAAAAGGTCTATTTTGACATTTATAAAAATATTTTGAAATGATTGTTGACAATTTTGAATTAATGTCAGTTTCAATAACATTCAAAATTCCGCAACCTCATCTGGAATAAGTGTTTCATTATTAGAAAAACATAACAATTAATGTTTATAATAAATAGTATTGTTTCTCTTTAAATAGGTAGCACCTTTTCTTTGGTATTGTTGCTCGATTCAATAAATTAAGTCTGTTCTGATTGGGCTAAAAATGCGTTACGTAATGAAACCAGTACGGTAATGAACTTCATTACGTAACTTAAATCACCTCAAATGTGTGTGGTAATGATGACTTATCCAAGCAGTCAAAATAAAATAAAGATTTTTAGATACCTACTTAAAACTTCAAAACGCTTAAGATTGTGCAATAAGTTCATTAAATAAGAGCAAGTTCAATTAAATCAATCAGTCTTTTACTTTAAGTATGTACTCAGGTACTTTAAATCGAAGTAAACACATTAAAGTTAAAAAAAATCAAATAACTTGGTATATAAGCGCGGATGGAAGTCGTTTTTGTTATACCAAATAGTAAACCATTAGAATCATGGCAAAATTTTTACTTGCATTGTTGGTTTTGATTGTGTGTTTTGCTGCTATTTTAGCAGAATCCCTCACTATTGAGGATTCAAATAATAAGTGTAAGTTTTTTTTTTATTTTAAGAATTTTAATTTAAGTAACTGGGCATTAAAATAGAAATGAGTCAAAATTAGAAATATACAGAAAAAATTACTTCTTAATTAATATGCTTTTTATATAAAAGTAGTAGAAACAGAAGTGTAATTATTAAAAAATTGATATAAATTGATTTTATACCTTTTTTTTCTGGTCAATATCTTACTTCAAGTAGTCCCAATATGGTAACCATCGCCATCACCTGAATGCGTAATCAAATACGTGGTAGATTTAGCATGATCTTCATTGCTGTAGAGAAAGTTATTTTACCAGCTCGTTCAGCCTTAAGCCGATTTCTTTTCTCTGTAGGTGCTTAAACGTCTTTCTGTTGCTGCACTCGACGCAGGCATACTTAGTATCTTGACTGCTACTTTACTTAATGTCGGTCCAAAACAACTCCCATTCCACCATACAACGGGATGCAGTTTTTTCCACGGATTTTAAATCATATGGTTTTCCAAATAAGACTTTAAGTCTTAGGAAAGGGCTGTTTCAAAATGACTTTCCAACTCATAAAACCATTCAGCTACTTGGCTTAACCTTTTGGTTAAGTTTTGGTGTCATTTCTTTCGGTTTGTATTTTTTTGAAAGTAGCTAATTAAATGTGATAATTGTTAATTTTTTTGATGACAGCCTTAACATCTTCTATAAAAGTAAACATGATGCGTATGAGCAATGCATCCATAAACAGAAATATGTTTGTACTTTCCATGAAGTATATTTCTTGCTTTAACTTGTATGTCGACAAATATTTATTGGCAAAGTTTTATAATACACAGAGGTTGGTGTAGGAATAATATAGTTAAGTAAAATTAAGATTCGTTAGATTCGAAGTAATATTCGTTCCTTTGGTTGCTCCAACCATCACACTGTAAGCTAACAGCATTTGCTTCTCCAATTTTCATTTTAATGTCTGGATCAACTTTTTCATACTCGGAGTCCAGTAATTTATTTGATAATAAATAACGTGTAGGTATTTTGATAGATGGTCTCAAATGTTTGAAAAATGATTGCCATAATCAGCAATATCAATAGCAACATAAACAGCCCCAGCTAATAGTTGATCTAGCTTGTGTTGTTCAACTTTTGATGAAACATCAATAAAACTATAGAGCTTTTAACATCATTAATTTAGCTGTAACCTCCTTTATGATTTGCTGAAGTTTGAAACTGACAAGTACAATTTCTTATCTACAACTCAAAAAACGTGAGCTCATTGTAATCATAACCTATGACAAAATTCCGGTTACCTGATCTAGCGTCACCTAATTGTCTCACTCATTCCCTATCATTCAGTCCCTATCATTGATGAAACACCGAATTCTAATAGTCGCTACATACCTCCTATATGTTGTGGTAACAGGTAAACGTATTTGAACACATTAAAGTCTGTTCTGATTGTTCCTTATCGGAACAACTAAAAATATATTCACTTGTATCACTGAGCACTTGAATCGCGTGACTATAGAGATTGAATTATCACATACGTATGAATATATCATTTTGGCAAGGTGGTAATCATAATTAAAGGTAGTCTACGAGATGAATCATCGCCGTTTCTATATGTCCCACTAAAATACGAAACATACTTTCTTTATGTAAGACATCTGCTTTAAATCTCAAAATCTAGATGTGGATCCTAGATAAGGTCGCTTACCAGACTCCAGTTTTTCTTCCTTACTAACCAATTTGACATAGCGTTAGTGCTAGTTCACTCTTAAATAGAGTATTCTTTTTTTTGATCGATTCCGTAAGAGAGGGTTTTCTTGATATCCACCGCTTGTGTTGTAGAGTGAGCTTTAACGCTCGTCGTTGAGATTCGAGGAGGTCTTTCTTCTTCTTTTGACTAAAATCCCATTTATTCTGCCGTTTTAGCAAGCTTGTTAATAGGACTAAGCTAAAATCAACCCTTGAAAAAATATAGGTAAACCGCCGTAGAGTTGAATCTATGAAAAATTAAATAAATCAGAAACCTTTATAATTGGCCAGATACTATCACGCATGAAATAAAATATTTTGACTTATTTTTAATTTATTGATAAAATATAAATTTTAAGACCTAACTAATTTTTTTTTTTCAAAAATCATTTTTAGCAACATGTATATTGTGGATTTTTGGGCTACTTTTTTGCAAATTGCTATGTGGGATATTTGGTCTTGATGGGAATTGCAATGACAACGGAATATGCGCCTGTGGAAAACGAATTCAAATCAAGTAAATTTATCTCTGACAAGAAGAAGGAGTAAAAAAAGATGTAGTGTATTATTGAAATGTTTAGTTTTTAGCATAATTACATTTTAAGTAGATATGTAAGTGTGTTATACTTATAATAAAACAATTTATTAAATACAGAAAAGTAACTCATGAAACTATAAAAAAAATTCCTGAGGCATCACGCCATTTCCGCAAATTCTGTTATAAGAAGCCGAAAGATTTTTCATTACATGTTTTGAATTATTAAAAACATACTTACCTCGCCTATTTGATCCAGACCAGGCGAAACACACGATAGCCATAAAAATCGTCAGCAAAAGAACTCGTCAAAACATCTTATATTTAGTTAAAATTACTCGAACGAATATGATTTTAATTTTTAATCGAAGATTGTGGTTCGATTGTGGTTATAAACAAAGAAACTTTAATAGTTATTTTACGGTTTTATGGAAGCAGTGTAAATAAGAATTTTTATTTAAATTAGATTCATAAAGAGAAATAAAGCGACGAAAAGATTTCCATGTCAAACAACACATTTTTTTTAATTAATAAATAAAAAGAATCAAATAAAAAACATCAATATAATCCATACATTTATTACGCCCCTTTAGTTATGAAAGTTACAATATTAGCAAGCGAATATAAAACGTACAAAATATATCGTCGTACAAATTACAAATAATATTTACATACTTTATTTATTGTCATATGCACAGCAATTTGTCTTTGTACGATTAATAACTGATAACTTTAGTAGGTTGTAAACACTATTCTAATACATAATTTTAATTAATAGAGTTATTTTCTTGAGTTTCTTCTGAGGGCTCATCAGGGTCATCGCGATTTGAATTATTTTCTAATTCAACATTTTCTGATCCCGCATTTTCTTGAGGTAGTTCTTGAGATTGACTTCCGTAAGTTTCGTGAAGATTATTTAATTTATTAGATAAAACGGCGCCCTTTAACGAAGTTTTAGCTACACTGAAATACAATTCACTACATTGTTCTTCTAATCGTTTCATTCGAGCTTCTCTTCTGGCTACAAATTCTTCTGCAGCTTGTATTGGATTTTTCACCACTGTTTCAGTAGAAGTTGAAGGTATATTTTCAAAATGAATTTTGGTTTCTATTTCAGTTTCTTCAGGAACTTTTTCATTTAAATCTTCTTGTTTTATGTTTGTAATATCATTTTCTAGATCAACCACTTCAATATTTTTATTTTGTATTTCAGTGGTAGAGTCTGAATTAAAAGAGCCAACGATTTCCTCAACTTCAGACTGAACAACGTCTAAAATAGAGCATTTATTTACGTTCTGATCCTCCACTTCTTTAGATTCTTCAACTTCTTCATTATTATTTTTTATTCCTTGTTCTGTTTCTTCGTTTACATCGGAATCTGGAATATCATCGTCACTAGAAGATTTTTCATCGCTATAACCACTTTCAACGCTATTACTAATGTCGTCTATTAAGTTTTGTTTTCTAGATGCAAATTCGGTTCTTAATTGTTTCCACTGTTCTTCTGTGCTAGTATTTTGCTCCCTGGCTTGTAACCATTTTTGTCGACAGTATTCTAATTCCTCTTTTAGTTCTGTTAATAATTTTCGTTTTTGTGCTAATTCATATCGAAGAATTTTTTCTTGGGTGTGTAATTGATGGTGCTGTTTTTGCATCATCCCCACAACATTCCATGTTTTCGACAATTCGCTCGATACTAAAACCAAACGTTTTTCTTGGTCTTGAAGGCGACCCTCTAAATGGGTGTTTAAATGTTTGAGTCGGTTCATTTCTTTTTCGAGGGATTTTTTCTCCAAAATTAAACTTTTCAATCTAATAAACGTTTTACTAACACTAACAACTTTACGAAGCCCGGTTGGGGTTTGTACCGATTTAAAACAATGATTATCATTTTCATTATTCTTTTTATCAGCAATATCGTTGCTGGGTGCAGTTTGGTGACTTAACAACTCAATTAACACCCGCCAAACCTTTGGAAGGTTTTCAACTATTTCCTCGGGACTATTGAGCTGATGCGTTGATGGTAATTGTGTATCTAAAATAAAAATAGCTTATGTTTGAAATTGATATTATTATGTAATTAGATTTTTACCTTCTTCTGGTTCAGCCACCACCTCTACATTTTCGGTTGGAGTGGCAATTTCTTCCATGGATTCTTTTTTATTCTCATTCACTTGCTTAACGAGGTCTAATAAAACTTTAGGCAATGCTGAAGCTTCGCTATGTTCATCGTTTATTGCTATATTTGTTAAAAGACCATGATTTTCTTCTAATAATTTTATTAAATTGTCTAAATCGATGTCTTGTTCGTTATTGAAACTAATTAATATTTGAGAAAATAACTGTAAAGAAAATAAGTAAAAAATAAGGTAAAAATAAATTGGTAATTTCATTCAACAAATTATTTCTTTTCTATCTTCTCTAACATATTTCTGTCACGACCAAATAGCAGCCAAGGAAAAATAAATGTATTAGGTTCTTATCGGCAGAGTTAGATTAATTGTGGAGCTGCCTGTTCAAAAAAAAATGCGTCGTGCAGAAAAACATTTCTAATTTTAGTGTTAGAGCAATTTTTTGAAATGAAGTTTTTAAATGAAATGACTCTACTATCAAACTTTGACCTACAAACAAGAAAGAACATGTTGTTTGCTATTTTAGAGTAGAGTTGGTTTTGGATTTTTTGAGTTTAGTTAGGTTGGATTGGGTTAGGTATGGTTGGGTTTCGTGGGCGGTGCAAAAGATCATTAATAAGTTACACGAGATGAATTTAAGAGTGGCAACAGCGAAGACAGAAATGGTGGTCTTACACTATTAAATAGTATATTCTTGAATTGTATAGAAGATTACGAAATTCGTCTGTAGATGAACTGTAGGAATCTGATAATAAGATTGGAACTTTTTGAAAAAATAACAATTTTGCAAAGAATTTTATTGCAGTTCTTGAAACACCATTACTTAATTAATTAATTGCAATTGCTTAAAAAATCTCTAAATCTCTCAACATGCGAATAATCGCGTATGGTTAAAATTTGGATTAATCTGCAAATAATTACCTGATTGATGACAGACATTTCGGCTTGTAATTCCTTACACTCAGCATTTGAAAGACCCAAATTCGATTCTAGATTGATGATTTTGTCGTATTTTGTAGAATTATCTGATTCTAATTCGTTAACACGTGTTTCAAATTCCCTGGAAAAACAAAATAAATGCTTATTATCCAAAGTTTCTTAAGTAAGAATATTTACTCAGATTTCTTTTGCGTTTCTTCCAACAACTTCTTCAAATCTTCAATTTGACTTTTCAAATTGTCCTTTTCCCTAGTATCGACTCTTTGTCGTTCTTGATACAAAATCCTTAAATCTTTAATATTTTGAAGTTGCCTTTCGTATTCTTGTCGAAGATCATCGGATAAAATGCTAACTTCTTTTGATGCTAAAAGTTCTTCGATTGTTGTTAACTTCTTTTTTAACTAAATTAAGTGCTATTAATAAGTATGATATATTAAATTATTTTTTTATGTTACCTCTGTTATTTGATTTTCTCTAACTTTAAGCATTTCTTTTGTAACTCTAATAACGTCTTTTAAAGCTGTTACATGTTCCTGATAGTCTATCCTCTCCTTTTCAAAATCGATGACTTGGGTATTAACCGATTGTAATTCTTTTTGCATCTCAGCAAGACTTATTCTAAGTTCTTTATTTTTATCAACGATCGAATCCTTTTCGGATAAGATAAGCCTGGTTCTTTCAAGTTCGTTTCTTAATTCTTCATTTTGCTCTTGTAAATTGTTTATTATTTCCTTGAATTTTGTGTTAAAAGGCGGATCCTCTTGAGTTGTTTTATTCTTGCTTTCTAAAAGGCTACGAAGTTTCGAATTTTCTTCTTTCTCTTTGATTAATTCTTCACGAAGATCGGTCATTTCTTTTCGCTTTTCAGAAATTAATTGTTTTCTTCTTTCGTGTTTTCGCGCAAGATCTTGCTTAAACTTTTCAAAATCTTCTTCTAATTCTTTTCTCCTTTGTTCTCTTTCACTGCTGATAGTTTCTGTCGGTTCGAATATATTATTTCCTTGTGGTGTGGACGTAGCATTTCCGTTCGTGCTACATATCTCGTTGGATTCCTCATTTCTTATTTCCGAACTTCTGGCATTACCCATTTTCAATCTTTAAACACCCAAAAATAGAAAAGAACGTTTGTTTACGTGCATCGCAAGAATACATTTTATAAAAATATACAAAAGTAAAAATATATAGAAAATGCTTTTAGATTATTCCACGAAGGTGTATACGTATTTGGCTCGGTTATCAGTATCAGAAAATAAAATTCTCAGTCAGAATCTATTTTCTGACCATCGTATCATTTATGAAGTCGTCATAACAAACCTTAAACGCGCAAAAGTGTTTTATTATGATTGTTGTATTTTTATAAGAACGTATCTGGTAGGCGGCCAAAGAAACAGCGTGATTAGCGGTTTGGTCATGCCTTTATTTTTGACGTATGAAATTGTATTTCGTTCGCCAATTGAATTTGCTATTGTTGGCGAGAAATATGTTATTGAAATATGATTACCTTAGTTTTATTTTCTAAAAAGTTATGAATCATATTTTGTCATAAAATTTGCTTTAGTTCCACAACGAACTACACTTCCCGTTGTAGCCATGACTAACAAATTGTTTAATAATTTTGAAACCTTTGAAATGAAAAAATGTTTTTCTGACTTTGAAAATTATAGTACAAGCATAATTTATTTAGTGAATTAGAAAGAAGGAGAAGAAATAAAAAAAATTTTCAATTTGGGTAAAAGTTTTTAGTATAGTTAGTTTTCATCAAATTTTTTATTCACAATTTTCATCGATTACACAAAAAATAATAAAATTGTGTAACCTACAAAAAATATAACTTACTTATTCTTATCAAAATTCGTTCAATACTTTTAATAGTTTTTTTTTAGAACACTATTTTTTTATAGGATTTTCGTTAAGAACAACGCACAAAGAAACTGAAAATTGGCGAGACACGCGACGGACACGTAGCAGTAACCGAATCAAAATCGCGTTTAAAGTATACTTGAATGGTTTCGTTCGTGCACTGTTCCTCGTGTACAGGTTTGACGAAGACCATCGTCCAGAAATAGAATTTATTTATCCTGCGGGAAGCGGGACAGATTCAGTTTCGAACGAACAGCGCTCTGCCAAACATTTAAAAATAGACGAGGATCTGCTTGCTAGCTTACTGAATTCACGATGGACCTACATTTATGTCTCAAAATGGCGCATTGTCAACCTGATAAAAGTTGAATGAGACTTTTATTTCCAACAATTCTTTGTAATATGAGTCAGTGAATAAAATTGAATAAAATTTCTGGTGAATGGAGTATGAATAATTTTATAAAACTTGAATTCATATAATAGATTCATATGACAGAATACACCACAATGTAGAATTTTTTCATCAAGTTTTGAAAAGTATAAAAATTTCTAAATCAAACTGAATCCTGCTGCAATTCAATAAGTCCTTTTAAGTCATCCTTGCTAGAATTAGCTGATGTTAAGGACCTGAATTAGAATGAGTCCTGATTTCACTCATGTCACCAACGTTATATTTAAAAACACAGGTTGTTTAGAATTTCCTTGTAACCCAGTTGTACTTTAAGCTTTAAAAATTTACTTCATTTAAACTTAAATAGTGACCTATCACCAGCAAAGGAAGGAGTTCTCTGTAATCAATGAACAAGCCGATGCAAAACAAAGTCCTCAATACAATGTAACATTTCAAATACACTGATCAGCATAAATTGATCACAAGTTGCCGTTAGCAAAAATAGAAGACTACCAGGAAGGTTCACTTAAAAAGTGGACGAGACACCCCAAGTTAACCTACCGTTGATGAATTACCGCTTTAGCTGCCCATTTTGCGTCGTCAGATTGCAATGCGATTTTGAACATTACCCTCTTCAAATGGATAGCGACATTAACCTGAGACTGAACATGCTATTGATTTCATCAAAGTCATTATCGCACTAATAATTATAGTAAGACCCTAGTGAGATAATCAGGTGTAGTTCAAGGTTATGAAAGAAAAAATCTATCCGTGTACCCTTAACTTGCCTTGGAACTATCATTGAATATTGATATCCACAAATCTTCAAATTGCGGTTGTCTACCTACCAGAAGTTACTTCGAACTCCATCAGTTTTTACTAACTACTATACATTAACGTCGGTAAATTCAGTATGTTCTCCAGCTCAATTATTGGTATGGATTCCTTGGCTTCTGTTGCAAGTCAAACATTGCATTTCATATAACAATCTAGCCTTAGATACGTATTTTAGCGCCATGTATCACATATGTTTAGAATTTAGTCTCCACGTCAGCTGGATACTACTCTCTTCTAAGTAATACTATCTTCATCTATTCTGCATTGAAGATGGTAATTTCATCCCTAATTATTGTCTAAGATTACAACAATATATACAAATTACGTTCTTTTGTACGTATATTCTTTGATACTTATAAATATGGTTGGCAATATAGTCGACGAATTCCTGATTATGTTCAAACGTTCTTTGAATAAGTATCAAAGAAATATATCTTCCAGATACCAGATAAATAACGGAGAAAAATCTTCGAAGTAAACTTGTGCAACAGCACAGATTTCATTGGTAAAGTTTGCTATATTTATCGGTTTGTCTTTATGAAATGGATGGAGCTGAACCTCAATCAGTTTTCCGTGCAAAATTGGATGGCTTGGTAGTTACCCAGTAAACAAGAAACCTCTGTGAAACATTTCAATTTTAACGTACAGTGATATATACGTGACAGATACGATTTTTACGAAACGTATCTAAAGATGTGTATCAAATACATTTCAGTAAAAATATTTATGAAATATCATTAAAATATGTAGCAGAAACATTTCATTTGAAACATTTCGCTACAAATGTGTCTGAAACATGTCTGGAATATCTTCAGCACCGCCTGTGAACGTGTGTACAAACATTAATTAATGTTTGTAAACAGAACTAACCGAAGGTAACATTCCTTCACGGTTTAATTGACAGTTCAAAAGAAAACTTCACGCTATAATTGGCATTACTAATTACTAAAGAAAACTTCACGCTATAATTAATGTTTGTAAACAAAACTAACCTTACGTAACATTCCTTCACGGTTTAATTGGCATTTCAAAAGAAAACTTCACGCTATGATTGGCATTACTAATTACTAAAGAAAACTTCACGCTATAATTAATGTTTGTAAACAGAACTAACCTTAAGTAAGTAACATTCCTTCACGGTTTAATTGGCATTTCAAAAGAAAACTTCACGCTATGATTGGCATTACTAATTACTAAAGAAAACTTAATGTTTAAATGTTTCTAATCCTTCCAATATAAAACCAAATTCTTGATAAGGTTGACCAAAAGTAAAAAAAATGGTGCAAGAGTTTTTTACTGTATCAACGTACTTGTAAATGTGTTTAGTTGTACCAAAAAAATGGAACAGTGTCTTTATGTTCACTATAACAAGGATTCAAACAAAAACCTAATAAATATATTACAGCGCTCCGCTGCAAGCTACCTCAGCTAATCTAAGAATAGAGAAAATTAAGCACGCGATGTCGAGTTAATCAGCTTAAATCATGCATTTCCACGATAATTAGGCGAAATCATATATGCCAGCCGAAAAAGCTTGCGGCTGAGTCATTTTAATATGTGTTGTCCATGTGTTTAATGCCGTAAGCACTAAATTGGATAACACATTTCGCCACTGTCAAGTCAAAACGGCATAAACGCCAAAATGGTCACCTTACTTAGCTATGATGTCGAACAGGATTTTTACATGTGTATTCAACAATTAATGCAACCACATAACCACAAATAAACTGCAACGTTCAATATTGATGAAAAACTAAGTAAATGTCGTTAATGCCGCTTTGGCTTGGCAACGTCGATTTAGTAATGCCCAGATCGCAAGGAATCTCGGCTAATCTTAGGTTGTAGTATGTATGGTTTCTTTTAATTAAGCCGATGTTGCTTGCTGTCGAGGCGTCGCGACGCAACGTATTGGTTAGACCGCAAGCAACCTCGGTTTAACTAACAGAAATCATACATTTCTACTATAATCAGGCAATATCATTCATGATCCACCATAAGTTTAACCAAGGTCGTTTACGGCCGAGGCGTTGCATTATATGTTGTTCAATTTAGTGTCGATGTGGTGATCAATTGCAACAACTGGGCTGCAGACGATTTTAGATTAATTGGACAAAATTACATAAACCTTAACTTCAGTACATTTGTAATCACGGACAAAGATAATCCATCTATGATCTGACAATGACACTTCTTCAGAAACAGATCAGTTATTAATCTAATTTGATATATTCGCGAATGTTAGAGTAGTTTCAATAATTTAGAACCTGGCATTGAGGTACCTACACAGTCTTGGTTCATTACTTTTATGTCATTCCTAGTAATAAATTCAAGCAAGTTAAAATATATTTTCCCAATTCTAAATCCATCACTGGTGAATCCAGGTCCGTCCACCAAAACGAATGGCTATTTTATGGAAGTCGCTACTAAAAAATGAATTTTGAAACGAGGATACATATTTATAATTTCAAGGTCACCATACATTGTTAAGGTAGACGACCAAAAACTTGTTAATCAAAAAAAAAAATAAACGGACAGATGATTAGAAAACACCTAAAATATACATATATTTATAACACCAAACACAGCAAAGATAGAAATTGGAAACACAGGTGACACCTGAAACCAATGAAGAGTTACTACAAATGTTTATGAATGGGAATCTATTTTCTGGATTTGTGATTAATCATGTACAACACAAAAATATAACCATTCTCTGTGATCCTAGAAAAAAGTTATAGTCACACAATAATTGTGAACCATAAATCACAGTTGGGTAATAAGAAAACAAATAGTTAAGCAAATCTTGGTTTATTTCAGCATGCAAAACACAAAAATTCATATACAAATTATATTACAACATTCAGATATGATTATAAAAATAATGATACAATTATAATAAAACATTTTGCAATATATTGAATGTTATAAAAAGTTTTTATTTAATGTGTTAAATAGAAGTTTTATTAAATATAAACTGGGCATTACGCAAGAATTATTTTAATTGAAGATCAAATTATAAAGAAAGAAAAGAAAAAAATTCTTTACTAAGCCTGCATAGCCGCTCTCATTTGCGCTTGTTGAATTTGTTGTTGGAATTTTTGTAAGGTTTCTCTGGATGTGTCTTGTTTCTTTTCAATGCCAGCAATTTGTTCTTCAACTCGTTTCATTTCCTTGCTAATGTATTCTATCCTTTTTAAGACATTTTGTTTGGCTTCTACCAGTTCTGTTTTTACGAGTATTGGACCAACAGATTTAAATATTGCTGTATCATCTTTAAGCATCTTTAGTTCATCAGATACCATATTATTTTCAGTTAATTGAGTTTCTAGTTGTTGACGGACAGTTAGAGCTTTTCTGTATTCTATAAAACGGAGAAAATGTGGTTAATTGAATGAGGTTATGATCAATTCGGATTAGTTGGGATTAATACCTTTTTGTAAAGTTTGATAAGTTTCTAATTCAGCTTGCATTTTTCTTTGTAAATCTTCAGCCATGTTTTAAGTTATTACTTTTATTTATAATACTTCTTAATGAGTGTTAAATTTGCCAAAAATTGAATTACCAAATAAGGCAGGTTTTGTTTGAGGTTAGTTACAGAAATCTGTCATAATGCGAGTACGTTCTTAAACGTCAAACTAAAAATCGTTTTCATGCAAAATAATAATAAATTTTAATATAAATCGATAATATAATCATAAATTAATACAAAGTTTTATTATTAACGATAATTTTAATTAATTTTATTAACAAAATATAAATTAATTCGATCATGTGACGAATTTCACACCAATTGCTGTTCTGTCAAAAGTGTCATTAGTCAAAATCGTCAGAATCAACACTAAATTTACAAGACGTTCCGCGATTAATCGAAGAAATGGAAGTGAATAAGGACGAGGCGGACCGATGCATTGAAATCGCCGAAAACGCTATCCTTGAAAGGAACCGAGAAAAGGCAAAGAAATTTCTTCAAAAAGCCGAACGATTGTACCCCAGCGAAAAAGCAAAAGGTTAGTTATCATCGATTAGTTTACTTTGAACACAATGACGTGTTCTTAACATTACTTAATTTTATTAGTGTTACTTTCGAAAATCGAACTAATGCCGCCCTCAAAGGAACCAGAAATTAAGCAAAGAAAACCGGCCCCTAAACCGGAAAAACCAGCTGAACCTGAGTACACTACTGATCAAGCTGAAGCTGTAAAGAGAATTAAAAAGTGCAAGGATTATTATGAGATTTTGGGGGTTAGTAAGGATTCCACTGATTCTGACATTAAAAAGGCTTATAAGAAGATGGCTTTACAATTACATCCAGATAAGAATAAGTATCCTGGGTCAGCAGAAGCTTTTAAAGCAATTGGTAAGTTGGTTTAGGAATTATTCAGCATTTTTATTGATTTTGTTATTTCTCATTATTTGAATTTGATATATTTAAATGTTTTAAAATTAGTAAAATTGATGTATTTTTAAATTAAAGAATGTATTTTGGAGGCGGAACAAATGGATTCCTGAAAAATACCTGTAATAAATTCCACTATTCAAGTCATTATTTAGAAATCTAGTAGAAATAAATTGCATAGCACTGATATATGCATGCATCCTCTAAACACAAATGTTATCAAATAAAATCAATTGTAAAAATATGTTTTTAAATGACAAAGCCCTGTAAAGGTGTCCATAGAAACTTAATCATACCATCTAATATATCAGCACCTCAGAGGTAAGATGTGTTAAGTCACATTTTTTGCCAAATGATTTATCTCCACTATGTGTATTTGTTTAAACATTAAGTCGACTTTCAAATCTCACGTTAACAATTAGAGGTCAGATGTGTTAAGTCACATTTTTTTCAAAATGAGTTATCTCCACCATATGTATTTCTCTAAACATTAAGTCCACTTCAAATCTCTCTCTTTAACAATTTTGAGTTTGTGACTTAACACAACTTACCTCTTAGGTGCTGATATATTCCTGACTTTGACCATTTAGATGTCTCATGCCAAGAGAACTAGTCTTCAGTAGTTTAAAGCTTTCTTTATAACTCAGCACTATATACCTATTTTTAGTTTTAATGAAAACAAAAAAGGCCATCATCTATCCTGGCACTAAAGGTGAAATTTAATACAAGGTCAAAGGTTAGAACAGCATAATTTTTTGTTTAGTCATGTGACGATTACTTCTCACATTTACTGATTTGACATTATAATGAATTTGTGTGGTTAATGAGTTTTGAGTATCTGAAATGTTTACGTTTTTTATTTATTTATTTATTTTAATTTGGGATATATACAAGGGGACCATAATTAAGTATCCACTAAAAACCTATTAGTACAAGAAAAGCAACAACAATAAAAAGAAAATTAAATACAAACTGAATTAATAACAAAATTAAATTAATGACACATGTTCAAGCTCAATATACAGGGTGAGTCAGAAAGAATGGGCTATCCAAATATCGGAGACGCTAGACACTAAAATATGACGTTTTAATCCATCTCTTATACAGATGTCGGTGGTTTTTGAGGTACAGGGTGTTGAAAGTTAAATTCCTATTTCGAAATTTATTCATAATTTTTAAGGTTAAGATTTTAAAAATTTGGTAGTTTTATATTTTCGAGCATGAGTGATATGAATTTGAAACTTGTTTTGTGATTGCTCGTAGAGAGCGCTAGATACACACTAGCTTATTTTAGGTTTATTTTTCCGCCCATGTTTCGACAATTGCTTGTTAATTGTCAGTATTCTTCTAATTTCCATGTGCAATAATCACCAATAATCAAATGCCACGATATTGAGTTTTCTAATAGTAATATGTGAGATATGATTTGTTATTTTGCTCAAACCAATTTGAATGGTTTAATAGGTTATTTACGAATCTGTATAATCGCCTTGGCGAAACGGGGTCTCTTCGTCCTAAAAGTAGTAGTGGTTCGATAAAAAAAAATTAGCGTCGACGAAGAAGACAAAATCCTGGTTCGAGTTACAGAAAAGCCATCTGTAAATACCCGCCGATTAGGTATTGCAACTGGGATAAGCCAATCGTCAGGGTGTAGTTTTAAAGAAAGAAAAAACCATATTGTTATACTCCCGTTCAAAACTTATTATCGCAATAATATCACAATATCTTGGATCATGCAACACGCCTACATTATGCCGACTTTTTACAAAACAAATTACGCGAAAATGAACATTTTCTTGCCAAGATTCTTGTCACTGATGAAGCGACGTTTATAAGACGAGGTGCTTTCAATTGGATAAACAATCACTTATGGGATGTGGGGGAAAGACATTTCAACACAAGTTTGAAGTAAATATTTGATGTGGTGTAATAGCCAATTTTTTCAGTGGTTCATTTGAATTCATTTAATTTTGCAATATGGTCACAATTGAAAGATATGGTGTACAAAAATATGATTGCAATTCGAAATAATGATCAAATGTTATTTAATATTTAAAGGTCTTTAAAAACGCGAATTGTAAAATCTGGTGAGGTGAATGGTGCATACTTCAAAAATGTACTTTAAATTCTATTGTTATTCATTAATTGTTATTGTGATCAATTATTATCATTAGTATGGTTACTGATTGCTGCAGTTACTGTGTGTTATTGATTTTACCGGTTTCAGGCTGTAAGAAGGTCCTTAACATTCGCAAAAGTTGGTTTGTAATGTATCTTATAACTGTCCTAGGAGTGTAAAGTGACATATCGATATTGTAAAAATGACGTATTATTAATTTGCTGCCACTGTTTGAACTCAGTATAACATTTTTCTCACTTTCGACTTGGTTGGAATAAGTGCTTGCAAAAATGCATTAATGTCACTCATTTTACAAATAATTGAATTTTTAAAAAAGAAAATTTTTTTATCTACGACTGCTTGGATAAGTCATCATTACCGCACTCATTTGAAGTGATTTGAGTTACGTAATGAAGTTCATTACCGCACTCATTTCATTACGTAACGCATTTTTAGCCTAATCAGAACAGACTTAATTTATTGAAACGAGCAACAATACAAAAGAAAAAGTGCTATCTACTTACAGAGAAACAATACTATTTATTATAAACATTTATTGTTATGTTTTTACATTTCGAAACACTTATTCCAGATGAGTAAACATGTTGTTGAAACTGACAATTCAAAATTGTCAACAATCATTTCAAAATATTTTTATAATTGTCAAATAGACTTTTTTAAAGAAATTGATTTTTTAGTAATTTTTAGCAGTCGAAGATAAAATGCTGTATATCACACGTGGGCTAGAGCATAATTACAGTACTCTTGTGATTACACAACTCGGTCTACAACCTCGTCGTGCAATTCTCCACACTCGTACTGTAATTATGTTTCTAGCCCACTTGTAATATAAATAACTATTTGACAAATAAACATCTTTGTGACTACCTAGCAACCAACAGTAGATTAAGTACTAAAGTTAAGACTGCTAACTTATTTATACAGGGTGATTCAAAAAACCGCTGACAGACTTCTAGGGCAGGTAATACAACAAAAATTAAGATGAAAAGTCTTAATATACATGGGGTCGCAAATGCCTCCTTAACGAGATATAGCGGGTCAAAGTTTCTTTAAAATTAAACATTATCTGTAGTAAAAAGCTTTTTTTTTTTTATTATTTTCAACGCCACTGCTAATTTTGTCAAATGGGCAGTATTTTCGTGTAAAATTAAAGGATTAAAGGAACAGTTTTTGATTGAATTAACAATTGAATTTTCTACAAACGAGTTTTTTCTGAAAAACTATTGCTTTGATCAAAGTTTTGTAAGAGACCAATTGATAGATAATTGATCACTTTACACGAAAATAGCAGAGGCGTTGAAAATATTTTTAAAGAAGGGCTTTTTATTGCAGATAATGTTTAATTTTAAAGAAACTTTGACCCGCTATATCTCATTAAGGAGGCATTTGAGACCCTATGTATATTAAATTTTTTGTTGTACTACCTGCGCTAGAAGTCTGTCAGCGGTTTTTTGAATCATCCTGTATAAATATTATTAATATTTATGCTAAATAAATTTGAATTTGAATACTGCTTGGTAGGAATCTTTTTTTTTCTTACTATACCAACTAGTTTCATATGCCAGAAATTCAAAACCTTTACCCAGAAAACCTTTATTTCATATTTTGCCGCTTTGGAACCTCTATTTGGAAATAATTGTTGTAATTGTTTAAAAATTGAAAACACGAAAACATTATCTTGTCTTTTATAGGAAATGCAGTGGCCGTTCTAACTGATGCTGAAAAGAGAAAACAATATGATATGTTCGGTCCTGATGAGCAAAGAAACACACGACATCACGAGTCATACACGCGGGGATTTGAAGCTGACGTTAGCGCAGACGAATTGTTTAATATGTTCTTTGGAGGTGGATTGGGAGGAAGTTTCACTAATTCGAACGTGTATGTACACAGAACCCGATTTCGCCGTACTGCTGGCGGTGAATCGACACATCAAAATCACAACCACAGAGAAGTACTGATAATCAAAATATATTAAATAAAAGTAATAAAAAAATACTGGATTTTTTATGATTTTAGCAACAACAATCTGGGTATACCTTATTGCTACAGTTTTTACCAATAATTCTAGCTGTTTTATTGTCGATGGCATCTAGTATGTTTATTTCTGATCCAGCATATAGTTTACAAGCGACTTCGTAAGTAGTTTTTTTTTTTTTTTTTGAATCGATGGATATATTTTTTTAAAGTTCTTATGGAAGAATATAAAAATAATGATGTTTTAAAATTGTCTTTTTTAATTTATTTAATTTAATTTGTGTATTTTTGTGGTGTTTTGATGATATATTTATCGCAGAAAGTATCCGTTGATGCGTAAAACGCAAAACTTGAATATTGAATATTGGGTGAAACAGAACTTCCACAATGAATATCAAGGTTCAGTGAGACGTCTTGAGAGTACAATTGAAGAGGAGTACATAACTTCGCTCAAACATTCTTGTTATCGTGAAAAGAACTATCGTAAGTTATATTTATATCAGCCTTCATTTTCTTTAAATTCCGTATTATAAAAATTCTTAATTTTTTTTGTTTAGGTGAATCGTTATTGTGGAAAGCTCGAAATTTTGGAGATCGTGATATGTATCTTTCCGCGCAGAATATGAAATTGCCATCTTGCGAGAAGTTGAATCAGCTTCGTAGTCAAGGGTAAAAAAGCATTTTGTTTAAAAAAATTAAGTTTGTCGGTTACTGGTATATCCTGCTGTTATTTTAATTGGTCTTTATTTATTCCAAAGTACATACAAAATTGAAACGTGTTTTATTTATGACTTGATTATAAGTAAGTTTGTTGATAGATTGTTAAATACAACCATAAAATTAAGTATTTGAGATTAAAGAATTGTGGAATGTTTTTTCTATTAATAATTTTCAACTGTATTTCTTGAAGTATAACGATTTAAAATTCCACAAACTTCTTAAATAATATATTTCAGAACCTAATTTTAGTAGTTGTGAAAAGCTCACGGTTTAATTAATAATTTAGTGTATGGTTTAAAGACATGTAATATATTTCCCTGTATTTATCTTATTTTGGTTAATTAACTCAACTGAGAAGTATAGTGTAATTCACATAAACCAAGTTGTAATTCTGTGATACTTGTTTGTTTTAATTTGTTGGAATGAAAATAAATACCTATGTATCCAAGTTGACTTCTATTAATAACATTTTTTTATTACTTTATTATTTATAAATTACAGTTAATATAAATGTTTTTATATCCATAGGATACAATTCCACTCTATAATCACATGACATTTTATTTTTTTTTATAATCCAATTTTCAAATGGATTGGTTATATCTTTGTTTTCTTGAACATACCATTTCAATCTTTTATTGCACCTCAATGGAATGTTTGCTCCAAGGGTCATTTCTTCAATATGTAATACATCAAAAAATGTAAATAATTCCTAAATCAAAAACAAATTTTTGCTTAAAATCCTAATTATATTGAGTAAGTTTATTTGTTAGTTACTATGATGATTTACCAGCTTTGTGTATTTCTTGATGTTTTGTGTTTGTGGTATCATTGTCGATAGCCAATTAGCTAATAGTTGTGTAAGTACAGATTTTTACTATAAAGTGTAGAGTGTGGAAAAAATATTTTGCATTTAATTTAATATTTAGATCGGCATGTATAATAGGAATCATGATCAGCTATATATACCAGGAATGTCATATAACTTGCAATATATGAATGCAGTAACCATAGTTATAAAACTACTGTGCACTTGTATTGTCCCACATAAAATGCAACATAGCTTCATAATACAGGCATTGGGTAGTTTTGCAAAGGAAAAGTTTTGCTTGGAAAAAGGTGACGTCCTTATGATAACCCTGAGTTTTCGGCCGTCTTAAGAGACGCACAGCTAAACCCGAATGTTTCTGGTTCTAGGTCTAGTGTTAGTTCTACTTTTTATTCAATTAAAAATATACCACAATCTAACGCTGAATAACAATAAAAACTAGAACTGACACTAGACCTAGAACTAGAAACATTCGGATTTAGCCACACGTCTCCCAAGACGGCTAAACCCAAATGATTCTAGTTCTAGATCTTGTGTTAGTTCTAGTGATAGTGCTAGTGCAAAACTATAACTAACACTAGAACTACAAACATTCGGATTTAGCCGCACGTCTCTCAAGACGGCTAAACCCGAATGATTTTAGTTCTAGGTCTTGTGTTAGTTCTAGTGATGGTGCTAGTGTAAAACTAGAATTAACAGTAGACCTAGAACTAGAAACATTCGGATTTAGCTGCACGTCTCAAGACGGCTAAACCCGAATGATTCTAGTTCTAGGTATTGTGTTAGTTCTAGTGATAGTGCTAGTGTAAAACTAGAACTAACACTAGAACTAAAAACATTCGGGTTTAGCTGTGCGGCTGAAGACGATACTTTCTAGGTCTAGTGTTAGTTCTACTTTTTGTTCAATAAAAATATACCACCATCTAACGCTGAATAACAATAAAAACTAGAACTGACATTAGACATAGAACTAGAAACATTCGGATTTAGCCACACGTCTCCCAAGACGGCTAAACCCGAATGATTCTAGTTGTAGGTCTTGTGTTAGTTCTAGTGATAGTGCTAGTGCAAAACTAGAATTAACAGTAGACCTAGAAAAATTCGGATTTAGCCGCACGTCTCAAGACGGCTTAACCCGAATGATTCTAGGTCTTGTGTTAGTTCTAGTGATGGTGCTAGTGTAAAACTAGAACTAACACTCGGCCTAAAACTAGAAACATTCTGATTTAGCCACACGTCTTGTAAGACCGCTAAACCCGAATGATTGTAGTTCTAGGTCTTGTATGAGTTCTAGTGATAGTGCTAGTGCAAAACTATAACACTAGACCTAGAACTAGAAACATTCACATTTAGCCGCACGTCTCTCAAGACGTCTAAACCCGAATGATTTTAGTTCTAGGTCTTGTGTTAGTTCTAGTGATAGTGCTAGTGTAAAACTAGAACTAACACTAGAACAAGAAACATTCGGGTTTAGCCGTGCGGCTGAAGACAATGCTTTCTAGGTAGTGTTAGTTCTAGTGCTAGTGTTAGTCTAGTTTTATTTGGTATTCAGCGCTAGATTGTTGTATATTTTTATTGAGCTATAACGGACACTGCGTTCGCCGTATTGATCGAGGTTGGTGCATTTTATGTGAGACAAAGTAAGTAGGTACGCCCTGGTTTCTATGGGAATATATTTTTGTATATTGCACCTTAAGTGAAATTCACTGTATAAAGGTGTAAAGATGTTCTGCTACAACTTAAATAATTGTTTCTATAAGTCGGTCTCTTCATTTCTGAGGAATTACACCTCTATGGTGTTTAGGTGTAGTGATTTGTTATTTCTTTCCACCTGATTTAGTCTTCAGCTCACAATGTTGTATGTAGAGGCGTTTCTCGGTGATATTCTTAATTCGGTTTAGCTATCTAGTGGCCGATCTGCCTCTGGAGCATTTACCATCGACCTCGCTCTAGGTCACTAATTTTTCTAGACTTATATCGTTGTACTACATGCTCAAAATACTGGACAGTTCTGCGTTGGACTATATCTCGGACACAGTTCTGAAGCTTGTTTAGAATTGACGCGCTTGTTCGTCTACGCAACATCCCCAGATCCACATCCTAAAACCGTCAATTTTGTGTATGTCTGAAGTTTTGATGGTCCATGACTCTGCTGCGTATAGAAATATCGGGAAAACGTTATCTGTTTGTCTGACCATATTTGCGTCGCCTTATTTCTGGCTCACAAGTACCCTTACTGGAGATTGAAGATCCGAGATAAACATGAATGGGACGGTTTGGATTTGTGGTGAGAGGTGCTGTATTTGGAGGATATTGCATAGTTTAGTTTTAGCGAGATTTATTTCCAGTCCCAGCGCGGCTTTCGTTAGTAGGTAAAACAATTAGTAAGATCATTTTTGCTAACTTGATATATTTTTTTGCATTTAATTACTAAACTAAGAGTGTAGTAGAAGAAATGTGTTAACCCATCAATATACAAAATAAAGATTAATACCTATGTTGAAGTTAAATTAGAACACAATACTTACATCTAAATAAATCACAGCAACTTTTGATAAGAAATCATTTTCATTCGCTTCGTATAAATGTTCTAAACGTAATAAAAGTGTATTTTCGCTAGGTTTCCAAGGTTCTAACGTTAAAATTTGTACATTTCTCGGTAAAGGTCTTAATAACCCTGAAATTTCTTTTGAAAGTACTCCCCAAATATTTCTTGGTTCAATTACAAATGGCAAAGGAGTCATTTTTTGTAACTGAACAAGATCTTTCTGAATTACACTTGAACTCAAAGATACTACAAAATGAATTACCTAATGTATTAATAAAATAAAAAATGGATTTTTACGTTTTCTGGTTAATCTCGGCCCAAATGTAACATAATGTTTTCCTCTAACGATAATCCCTTTGCCGAATTCTTCTTCATTCAATGCTTCGTCAACGCCGAATCCGTCATCGTACAGAATTCTTCTATGAACCTATAAAGGATTAAGATTAAAAAGTGCAACATCAATAATTACGGTGATTTTGCCATAAGTTCTAGTTGCCCAGATTTTAGACTAGTTCCTCCTTGAGATCTATCTGTTATGACAGCAAATTCGAAGTTTTTATTTTCATCTCGTAAACAAATTCTTGAAGTGACTGGAAAATAATTTGACGAAACGTTTTCTGCAGTATATAAATTGAAAGTTGGTCGAAAATTTCGTTTTCGTTTAATCATTTCTCCACCATTTGAGTCAGTATAAAAAATGTCATTTGTGTTTAATCCAGTTTTAAATCTAGATATTATTTCTTTTCCTTTATTATCCCTAATAATATTTCAATTTTAAGTAATTTTATATTATATTTCAAAAGTTAACTTAAATGTATTAATAAGGGATGGTACGATTTTAAGCAGCCCGTATTTTCGAAGTTATACGACTTCTTAAAATCGTGCGGTTTGCCGGATTATTCTATAATATACATACTTTATATTGATTGGGCCAATTAACCAATCAAATTCGATGTAATTCCCTATTTCATAAACTCTAACAATTTGCTTTATCCATGGATTAAATATTTGATGAAGTTCATCAACTAAATTTCCTTTATACGTAGTTGTTTGAACGGTTGTAAATAATTTTGTGGCATCTGGAAGTGCTGGTCTAAAAACATAAGCTCCAGACGATCTTGTATAATCGGCGTAATTATCACCAAAGGCGCTTATGTAATAATAAAACTCTTGTTGTAATTTAATAATTTCACCATTTAATCTTGCGCTGCATAAAAGACCGGTGTTTTCATCCACGTGAAAACCATTTAAATTATCTCCTAAAGAATACTGATTTACCGTTAAATCAGGTTTTGCGCAAAATTTGCAAACACCATTCTTTTCAAATGAGTAAAGTTTTACACCGAGTGATGGTAAATCTTCCGCATAAAAAACTAGTTCATATTTAGCAGGATTATGGATTTTGTAGTCAATGAAATCATCGATTGATGGGAAGATATCGAAAGGTACCTTTCTGTCTAAAATAATATGGTGAGAATTTAATAAAAAGTTTTTGATGGCTTTGATACCGTTTGAATTAAATATGGTAAAACATCCAGATGACACTGGTAGTCGTATATAATGTGAAATAGGTGCGCTTAAAGGGTTATAAATTGCGAGAATAAATTCTTCTTCTTGGGTTAGCTTACAAATGCTTACATTTGCATAAATACAATAGATTAAGTTTAGGTCAATGTCGTCTAAAGGACTTGTTGGCAGAAGAATACTGTAAAAAAAAATTTAATTTATTTTGTTACTACATTTTCGATTTTGTCTCAATTTGTTTATTCCTGTACATCGGTTTAATTTATAATTATACATGGCTTTTATTTATGTAGTGTTGTTTTTGTTTGTTTCTTACTACATAAGATTTTGTTAATACATACGATAATACATCACTCGTTTGCATGATATTTTTTTCAAAAGCTTCAGTTAACAATCTATGATAATCATTAGCAACATGTTGTTTTTCTGTGCCAGTAATAGCGTCATGATGTTGCATAATAGCTAAAGCTTCTTGCATTGGTCTTAAATTGGCAATTCTATCATCGATTTGTGGAAAGAAACTAGTTACTTGTTTTGTTATCTATTAAATAAAATAATAAGCTAAATAACAAAAAAAAGATCTCTATCTACCTGCAAAATATAGTTACATTCCCTTTCAAATCTCTTTGAATTTGGCCTGGAACTATAAAATCCAGTCCAAAATGAATGTTGATCACTTCCATACGGAAAAAAATCATCAAATATTATATCATAACTTTGTCTGTTTGATGCTAATTGTTTTTTAATAGCTTTTAGATAACAATTTGGGGTGGAATAAATTAAATTAATCCTTTGCCCATGAAAACTATGATTCAAGACTTTGAAACCACTAAAATGAATTAATTATTACTTTAATAACATTTTTAACTCTTTTTTTGTTTTAGTCATACTGAATAAGTTTATCTAAATTGGAAAAATGTCGTAACGCATCCTGAAAGTGAAAATCACCACCCATAGCTACCATGATATGATTAGTAGTATAAGAACTAGCCACTATATTAATATATTCTGCAAAGCGAGCTATCATCCCATCCAAATTATATTCAGGCGAAGAGTCATCGTCGACGATGGGGTTATCATTGCAAAGAAAATCGAAACAGAACAAAAAAGGGGATGTGTATCCGTTGAATATGATGGAAACAAAAATTTTTGAATCCAAACTGGAACTTGTTTGCCAAATTAATTCTGGCGTTTTACTATAAAATCTTTGTTGTCGATCTTGGTGATCTAATCGACCAATAAAGATTGCTTCGTAACTCATTTCAGCAAAAATTTTTGCCATTTCTCTGCTATGTCCAAATGTATCTACTTGCCATGCTGTTTTAGGTATAGCACATAAACCAAACGTTTCATTTAAGAATCTAAATTTAAATTTTTTTAATTAAATTTAATAGTTTTGTTAAGATTTACTTAAGTCCAATAGTAAATTGGTCAATTATGGCTTGGTAATTAGTGCATGCTTCATCATTCATCGTCCATCCCCCACCAACAATTTCTAATTGACCGTTTGTAATCAATGCTCTCAAATTTTCTTTTGAATTATCACTGGCTACATTCCACCATTTATGTAAATAAGCCGTTTCTACAAATATAAATCTAAAGAAAAAGAGGAATAATATAATTAAGTTTTAATTCGAATGCCTTCGATTTGAATTTTCCATAAGTGCAATGATAACCGATTCTATGATATAATGAACTCCTGATTTGTTATTTTTCGATTTAGCTGGAAAACTTTCGATTATATAAGTCGATTTAAACTGAATAATTTATTACTTCCCCAATAGTATTCGTCGAAAGTCTTGATCCATCCAACATCTAGATGAGTATGTGCTACTATATGAACGTTCAGTTCATCTGGTTGAGTTGTATGACAAGACTGAAATTAATTATCTAACCAATAATAATACTTAAAATTGAGATGAATGAATACTTCGCAAGATTTGGAACATTTTCCGAATGCATTAACTATTATTGTGTTTAAAATCCACAGGAAAAGCATTTTTAAGTTAAAAATTCTTAGATGTTAATTTTTAAAATTAATATTTTCGACATATTAATGACAATGTCATATATAACAAAAAAATAATAATAACATCTTAATTGCATAGTTACTTTATTACATCAACTTCATTGTTTGGATTATCACAAATTAAAATGTAACTAAAAACGTTCTTATTTGCATTGGCGCCAAATTAACCATGGTATCTTTTAGTGCAAATTCAGGTTTGTTATATACAAGTTCTTGCATTTTTGAATTCTCGTTAACACTTCCTAAATTACCCTGACCAGTCCAGCGGAAACGTTCGTTTTCTTCAAGCAGTTGATTCCCTCCCAAAGTCATTTCTCGAATTGAATTAATTTCGAAATTGGTGAATAAATCCTATAATTTTTATTATTGCATTATTTTATATTGTTAAGTGTAAAAATAAGGAATATTTACTTGTAAATCCACTGTCACTGCTTGAGATAATTCGGCATCGTTGTTTCTTGGAAAAACGTGTTCAAGGCGTATTAACAAAGTTTTTTCAAGAGATTTCCACGGTTCTAATGTGAGAATTTGTACATTTTGTGGTAAAACTTTTTTAATACCAGAGTACTAAAATATATTTTAATTATTTTCATTATCAAAAGTCAAACCCTCTCAATTTAGAGCTTGATATTTTCGCAATCGTTTGATGAAAAAAATAGTAGTAAACTTTGCTGTAATCGCTGAACATTTCTACATAACATGTGTGAATTTAAAAATTTTTGGCGGCGCGGTTCTTCTTTTATTGCGAGGTAAATGAAAAAACTGCGATGTATGTTTTATATAGACTGGACGTCGCGTCGTTATTATTTTGTGTAGGTAAAATAATAAGACCCGGCACATTTGCGGCTGTTTACCAACCCAACCCAACATTTTTTCTTGAGATGTTTGTGATTGGGATGATATTTCTAATTACAACAAAAATTACCGTTATTTTTTTACGGTTACAAAGAAATCAATCTCTAAATTGAGATGCCTTTGGTACTGTTAGTAATTATTTTTAACTATATTTACCTCCTTATTTAAAGAACTCCAAAGATTAACATTATTCGTTAAGAAAGTCCACGGGGCAAGTAATTTTCTTTGCGCCACATCAATTTGAGTTGCTATCGCGGAAGATTCACCTAAATCCAATTAACCATTAAATTAGGCAGTACAAATTATAAAGTAATAAAAAAATTTACCATCTGTTGGTTTTGTTTTTCCAAATGTAACATACAATTGTCCTCTTGCATACAATCCAATACCGTATTGCATTTCATTCAAAGCTTCACCAACACCGAATGCGTCATCTCTTAATAATCTTCTATGCAACATTAACTCTACTTGTCCAGATGCTAAACTACTACCGCCTTGAGCCCTATCATTTTGAACGGCAAAATCCATGTTTTTCGTATCATTGATAGAAATTCTTGATGTAATCGGATAATAATTTCCAGCAACGGGTTCGCTGTATTCGCGAAGAGGATAAGTTGCTCTATGATCTCTAATTCGTTTAACCATCTCTCTTCCGTTTGAATCCGTATAGAAAGTGTCTCTGCTATCTATGTTTGTTTGGAATCTGCTGATGATTTCTTTTGGTAAATTATCGTCTATATCAATGTTTCCTATTAACCAATCGAATTCGACGTGATTTTCTCCTTTGTAATATCTTATAATTTGTTTAGCCCAAGAACTAAATACTTGATGAACTTCTTCAACTAAATCTCCTTTGTAAATTTCCATTTTAATGTTTTCTTTTGGGAAAGATAAAGCATCTGGATAATTAGGATCCGGTCTGAAGATATAGGCACCTGACGCTCGTTTGGCGAATTCGGAATTGTCACCAATTGCACCAATATAATACATAAGTTCTTGAGTTACTTCCACGGTATTTCCATTTAACGTAATTGATTTCAAAAGATTGGTGGTTGTATCCATTTCAAAACCATTTAGATCATCTCCAGCAACATATTTTTCTTTGGGATTATCTATTTTGGTTGTTGTGGTTTTGATAGTGGAACTCTTTGTAATTTTGTACAATTTTAAACCTAATCCTGGGATATTTTCAGCTTTAAACAAAAGATCTTTCATTGGTGTTTCGGATCCATCCATAAATTTAAAGTCGTCAATCGGTGGGAGAATTTGATATGGAATTTTATTACCTAAAATTCAAATTAATACTTAAAAATTACTATGTTTTTGATCCTACCATTAGGGTCTTCAATATCATAAGCTTCATTCTCAACTGGTAACCTAACAAAAGTAGAGACAGGTCTACTTAGCGGATTATAAATAGCCGCTATGAAATTCTTATCAGATGTTAAAGAACAAATCGAAACATTAGCTTGCAAACAACTTTCTAGGCCTAAATCAATTCCCTCAGAACCTGAAGTTGGTAATAATACACTAAAATAAAATTTAATAATTAATTCCTCATTTCAATAAATTAATAATTTCTTACGAAAGTAATTTATTAACACGTTCTGTACTTTGTTCAATGGCAATCGTTAAAATTCTATGATAATCATCTGCAACGTGCTGCTTTTCAGTTCCAGTAATAGCATCATGATGTTGCATGATTCCAATCGCATCTCTTAAAGATTTCGTTGCATCATCTTTATCACCGTCTTGAATGAATGTCGATAATTGTTTAACGATTTGTAAAAGATTATTTCCTTGCCTTTCGAATCTCTTTGATGTAGGTCTTGAGGAATAATATCCGGTCCAATAAGCATGAGGATCACTTGCATACGGGAAAAAATCGTCCGTTTTGTATTTGAATGCTATCTGTGAAGCTGTCGCTTCTTCATTTACAGCTTTTACATAACAAGACGGTGTTGAGTAAATGAGATTAATCTTTTTATCTCCGTAATATTGGGGGAAATCTTTGAATCCTCTGTAATAATATTAATGTGGAGATTTTCTTATTTATTTATAACATAATAGCTTACTGAACTAATTTATCCATATTTGAAAAATAAGAAAGGGCATCTTGGTAATTAAAATCATCACCCATTGTGATGATTATGTTGTTTGTTGTGTAATATTGGGCTTGGGTGTTTATAAAATCAGCAAAACCTATAATCTGTTTTAGTTTTTTTGGTATAATTATTTTTTTTTATGTAATTAATTTATTTCGTACCTTTTCTTCATAGTTATATTCAGGACTGGAAATATCATCAATAATTGGGTCGTTATTGCATAAAACGTCGAAACAATAACCAGATGGGGCGCTGTAGTGATTATATAATACTGATGTGAATATACTTGAAAGACCACCTTTAAAAAAATGTATAATATAACAAAAAATATAAATTGAAGTTATTTACCTAAACTTTCACTTCCTTCCCAAATAATTTCTGGAGTTTTAGTTGTTAACCGTTCGCTTTTATCTCTCCAATCTAATCTGGAAAAGAACAAGGCCTCGTAACCCATTTGGCTAAATATTGATGCCATTTCTTTACTGTGACCAAACGGATCAATTTGCCACCCAATTTTTGGTCTTCCACATTCACCTAAGGTATCATTTACGGTTCTAAAATTTAAAAATGTTTGTATATTAATGTATGCTTATTATTCTTTTCTTTTTACTGTAATCCCAGAGTGAATTGATCGATAATTGAGTGATAATGAGCTGCTGCTTCATCATTCATACTCCATGCTCCACCAACAATTTCCAATTGTCCATTATCAACTAGTTCTTTAAAGTGTTCTCTAGCTCTTTCTGGTTGATCTTGCCACCATTTATAGAAAAATGCTGATTCTACTTGGATAAATCTTAAAACAAAATTTTTTTAGTATTTTCTTTTTTATTTTAAAGTAGGTAGATGAAATAATGAGGAAAGCTAGATTATTATACATATATTTATAAGGAAAGTTTGAAGCTTTTTAAAACTATTTACTGATACAAACACACATTAATGTTTTCCACTGTTGAAATATAAAAAGAATGACTGCTTTTTATTGTAGAAGGATTTCTTTAATTCTCAGAACATGAGCAATTATGGATAAAAATTCATCAGCGCTTAATTTCCCTTCTCATTCATTCCAGATGAAACAAAAATCATTTTTTGTCTGCAAATCAAACAATATCATGTTGTGAAGTGCTAGTTTTGTTTTATGATACATTACTTTTTGGTGGTAGAAGCTGAAGGTATTGCTGAGTTTGTGAACTGCGCATGTATCACATATCCTGTATTATCAACCTGTACTACAATTATTTAAAGACTGCAAATCATACTAATTAACATTTTCAGTCCCAAACAGGTATACCCCATGCTACGCTATTTTCATTAGCATTGAACCTCATGTGTATCATATTTGTTGACACAAAACAGCTCTATTGATCAAGCCGTGAGCCGTTTGATTGGTTTGGCAATGCTTCTAACATTATGTAAACCATGGATGCTGGTGAAATACGGGACCAACTGAATGTATCTTTTTACGAAAGTGATAGCAGTGATAGTGTTCTAAATATATTTAGAAATAATTCATTACACAGACTTGGATTATGAAACTCTTTAAAACTGTCTGGGATTATGGCTCTGCAGATCGGGTTGCTCTTGAGAGGGACCTGGGGATGCTGCCGTGGATGGATATTATTTATACGCAGGATGTTACCGATAAATTGAGAATTTTCAATGAGCTGCTGCTCTCAGTGTTTTATGTACACATTCCTAGTAGAGTGGTGAGAGTATCTAGCCCTCGGCCTCCTTGGTTGACGCCCACTATTAGAGAAATGATTAAACTTCGTGATAACTCGTATAAGAGATTCAAGCATACGAGGCTGGATTCTCATAAGGATTATTATAAAAGCTTGAGAAACTATGTTACAGCCGCTATCAGAAGGAAAAAAAGGGCCTACTTTGACTCGCAGCTCTCCCCAAACACTTCCTCCGAGTATTGGCGTCGCATTAGGGAAAACGTAAATATTACTAAAGGTAAGGGTATTATCCCGGAGTCGTTGGCTAATGCAAATGAGATTGCAAGTCACTTCGGCGGCGCTGTTCCTCAAACTGATATCGACTGTGATGTGTATTAATACTACAATAACAACAAGGCTACTGCTTTTCAGACTGAATTCTCCTTCTGGGCTATAACGGAGAACGATCTATACTCCACGTTGATTAGTATCTCTTCCAATGCCGTTGGAGTCGATGGCATAGCACTAAAATTTGTTAAGATGTGTTTTCCTTTTATATCTAGATATATTCTACATATCGTAAATTTCTGTTTAACAGAAAATGTATACCCTACCATCTGGAAACAGTCTATTGCAGTTGCAATACCCAAAAAACCAAATCCTAATTATAGCGATTTAAGGCTCATTTGTCTTCTACCCGGCCTTTCCAAGGTTGTTGAAAAAATTGTGGATCGTCAGCTGCGAACACACCTAACTCAATATAATCTTCTGCCTGATTCCCAATCGGGTTTTCGTCCGGGTTTTTCGTGCGCTACTTCTCTTTTAAACCTTACGGATGACATTGTGCGCTCCTCTGATTCTGGCCTTGTTACGGCCCTGGTGACACTTGACTATTCTAAGGCATTTGACACTATCAATCATCAAATGTTGCTTGCTATTCTTAGGTTTATGGGTTTTAGCCGTGAATCCGTTGATTTCTTTCGACATTATTTGGAGGGCAGAAGTATGAGGGTGCGCGTTCGTGATTCTACTTCTCGTGAATTTTACACTCCTACAGGTGTGCCGCAGGGTAGTATTTGCGGTCCTATCCTATTTGTCCTATATACTAGTGCCTTCTCGTCACACGTCCGTTACTGTAAATTACAAACTTATGCGGATGATACACAACTATATTTGAGTTTTCCGTTGTCAGAGATTGAAAGTGCAAATAGTCGTTTAAATCAAGATATCGAACGGGTGGTGAATGTATCGCAAGGGCACGGTCTATTGATTAATGGTACGAAATCATCAGCTATTATATTCGGTAGAAGTAAAGACCTTGGTTCTGCCAGAGCATCATTGAGCATTCGTGTGGGCGGCGATGAATTGCGCGTAGTTGATACTGCAAAACTCGTGGGGGTATGGCTGGATTCGGATATGCGTTTTAATACACATATCAATCACTTAATTAGATGTTCGTATGCCACGCTAAAGTCTTTATACGCCAACCGTCACATTTTAAGCACGCAAAGTAGAGCCTTGCTCACTGACACGTTGATACTTTCTCGGTTTAATCACTGCAACGCTGTTTATGGACCTCATCTGCGTGCAGATGCTGCGGCACGAGTCCAACGAGTCCAGGGGGCGTGTCTCCGTTTGATATTCGGTATACGTCGAAATCAAAGGATCTCTTACAAGTTGCCCGAGGTACGGTGGCTGAGTATGAAAGCAAGGAGAATTTTTCATGAGGGAGTATTATTTTTCAAAATTATTATGTTCAAAACTCCGGCTTACTTGCACAATAAAATCAGATTTAGAACGGACGTTCATAATATAAACATCCGCAGAAAGAATTGCCTGTCTATCCTGCCTCATAGCACCCAACTGTTTAAAAGGTCTTTTTCTTACAGAATTGCTGATTTTTGGAATTCTCTGCCGGAAGCTTTGCGCTCTAAACAATCAGTGCCTGCCTTCAAAAAGGCATTTAAATTACAATTTGTTTTTTGATGTTGCTTGAAAAAAACAATTTTGTTTTTGTTCTTTTGTGTTTTATCACGTTTTGCGTGTTTTCTCGATTTATCTGTTTTCTTGTTTTCTTTTATTCTTTTCTTATTTGTTTATCTAAACCTCCTCTGACAATCGTCCGAGTTGACTTGATTTAATTAATAGTACTTTTATTTTGATATGTTATTATATGTTTGAATTAGGTTTTTGTTATCAAGTCAATAAATGAATTATTATTATTATTATTATTATTATTATTAAAGTGATGACAGCAGGTTAGGGTAACTTAATCGCAGCAAAATAGAAAAAGATGTTCTAGAGGATGAAGAATCTTTAAGAAGATGATTGATAAATGTACTAAATGCTAAATATCTAAATAGCGTAGTCAATTATTTTGAGGAAATCGTTCCGGGGTTGGCTGAAGTGGTGACAATATTTATACAAATTATGCCTCTTACGCTAGGATAGAAAATATTCTACGTAGACAATTAGCTTTTATTCAAACTGTAATGGAGTTAGTTATGTCGCTGTCGGGAGAGTCTTCGCTTTTTTGGACTACAACAGAGCAAAATCACTTAACGATATCTCTGATCAACTCGCGATTTATGGGACATCTTTACGTCGAGACTTGAAGCAGTTCTTGGAAATGTCCACTCCATTTATAAGGCTACTGTTGTACAATCAATGGACATTGCAGCTATTAGAGAACATCTTGTGCAGTATTTGCTACCGACTGAACGTGGAGAAGACAAAAAAGACAAGAAACATAATAAAAGTGGCGACCACAAACTACGTTGCAAAGAACATTCTTAAAGTTAGAACGAAGTATATTGGTTATTCGAAGCAAAAGTATATGTGTATTAAATATTTTTTTCAAAAATGTTACACACGGGCATCAGCTTTTCGGAAGCTTCCATCGGAGCTTTCCATAACAGCTGTTGGCATCAAGGTATCGACAGGACAAAATCCGGTTTTATATGAAGGAAAGATCATATTTTGTAGTAGTGTGCTTAATATTCCGCTATCTGTAAAGACAAGGAAGATATCGGCTTGTAAAGTAGGTGGAAATCAAGGGTAAAAGTGTGTTGCTGAGAGATTAGTTTCTGTCGTTGTGCGGATAAAAAATACTCAACGCACATTTATAAATAATAATTGAGACATCCTTTTAAAAAAATCCAATTAGATTTAAAAGTAAAAATTTTAAATACATATTTTCACGACTTTTAATCTTGTGTAAAATGTTTAGTGGTTGGTAACTTTCCACATTTTAATTAAAAAGTCTAAAATCTAGCTTTCCTGGAATTTTCCCGAAATAAAATTAATTTTTGTGTTACCTCCTCTCAGGGTTTTGTCTTAAAGCTTCAACAACCGAGCTGATGATATATTGGACACTCGCTCTTTGAATTGAATTTCTTGCTATTAATAAATTTTTATTAATACATCTTCGAATTAAACTAATTTAAATTAATTACCTCCCCAATAATATTGATCAACAGTTTTTAACCATCCGACATCATCGTGAGAATGTGGAACTAAGTGAACATTAAGAGTATCCGAAGAAACTTTAGGACATGACTTAAAAACAAAGAAATTGTTAAATTAATTGATTAATAATCGATTTCTAATTTTAAACCACTCAATAAAATAACAACAATTAAACCACTTTTAAATGATGGTATCTTTTGATCCAGTCGATGTTTTTTGTTTAATTAATTTTGAAATACATATTTTTAATATACTTACCTGATAACCGCAACCAGCTTTAGCGTTGTTGTTATGAGTTATGGGAATTGCAGAAATTGTCGCGAAAATAATCGCGAATAAAATTAATGCTCTTTTCATCATTGCACCCTGAAATAAAGTTGTTTTTAAAACGCAGTTTAAAGTAATAAATGTAACGATTCGAGTTATCTTCGTGATAAGTTTATATCACTTGTTGCACAAATTGCATTTCTTTGCAAAAAATCGTTTATGTTCGCATTCTATTTTACGTAGATAAAATAAATTAATATATTTATAATTATTGTACACTTATTTGTTTTTGAGAATATTACGACAGATTTTAGAAACTTTAAATAACCTATGACTTTCAAATGTTACGTACTAATTGTTTATAGGTCTTTGTGAGAAATTATTACTTAAAACCGATAAGAAAATTATTACTTACATATATTTAGGATTTATTTGTTCAACTTTCGACGACAAACAACACTAAAATCTGGACTTACACTCGAAGTAATGAAATTTCACCTTATCATTTGATGATCGTCAAATATCGAGTGGGACTTTAAAACGTTATCGGTTATTCTTCTCTATTCGTAAACGGACTCTCGCTCGATGAAAATTGATTGTGTTTTTCATTCGATTTGGTGAACCGATCAACCGTTTTACCACTGTAAAGTTCCACTCGGTTTCGTTCATGTGTATTGTGTCCTATGTTTGTAAATTGATGGTACTGTTTGATGCGGTCAAGTTTATTAACCCATTTACACTGTAATTATCGTACCGATGCACGCTAATAACTTATTTCCGTTACTTTTTATTAACTGTTTCGACTCCTTTTGTTACACGAACCATTTAATTTTGATTTGGTGAATATGTAAACAATAATTATAAAACAAAAAGAATTTATTTGAATGCTTTAATTAAAAAAAAGATACAGTACAAAAATATTTTTAGATAACTTTTAAATTTTCATTTTGATCTCGATAACAAACGTTTTTATTTCCATGGGTTTTAAAGTTACAATAAAATCATCTACTATCTCAGAAGTTGTTGGATTTTTGATATTGTGTTTAAAAGATATCCATATATCATTCGATTTCGTCTGGTCATGATTGTACTTGGTAACTAAAGAGTTCCATTTTAAAGTATCTTGAACATCGTCGTTGGTGTTCATGTTATCTAAAACTTTCTTAGCCAAAATCGCCTCCATTTTTTCGCCCAAATCTACGTTTTGGATCGATTTATTTTCAATCCATTGATTAGCTCCTAACGTAGTTTCACGATACGAAATAATATCAAATGATGAAAAAAGTTCCTACAAGAAAAACTCATTTTATTTTCAATTTTAATTTAGTTTTAACTGAATACTTTTAGATTTACTGATACTGGTTTAGAATATTCCAAATCTTCATCAGCTTCAAATACATGCTCCAAACGAAGTAAGAAATCCATTCCTTTCCATGGTTCTAATGTTAATATTTGAACATTATTGGGTAAATTTGTTTGTAGACCTGAAAACTAAAATAACATTTTTAACAATTTCTATATAATTATAATAATAATATGTTATTACCTCCATTTTATATGTTTTTCTATATTGATTAGGATCGAGATTATTTGTTGGCGATAAAAACGTCCAAGCTGATAAAACTTTACGTTGAATAACATCATGCTCTTGAGCCGCTACAGTATCATCTCCTTTACTTAAATATGGCCCTAACACTAAATAATGCGTTCCTCTTGCGACTAAACCTTTCCCAAACGCTTGTTCCATCAATTCCTCTCCCACCCCAAAAGCATCATCATGTTTGCAAGATCTATGTAACATTAATTCAAGTTCGCCATTGTTTAAACTGGTTCCACCTTGAGCCCTATCGGTTAAAATAGCGACTTCAACATCATCTTCAACACTTCTCATGCTTATTTTCGTTGTCACCGGGTAATAATTTCCAGAAACTGGTTCTGAAATATTAAGTTTCCAAGTTGGTCGGAAATTTCGAACTCTCTTTAACGTCTCTCTTCCATTCGAATCAGTATAAAAGATTGAATCTGATTTAAGATTGGTTGTGTATCGAGTGATGACTTCTTTTCCAGCGATTGTACTAAAACATATTAGTTATAAAAAAGAAAGTTATAATGAAGTTAGTGTACTCATTTGGAATTGGACCAACAACCCAATCGAATTCAATGTTATTTTCTTTATTATAAACTCTTAAAATTTGACTTGTCCATTCATTAAAAACTTGGTGGAGTTCAGAAACAACGGAGCCTTGATAAAGCCTATATGATACTTTTTTCGTCATTTGAATTGGTTCGGAGGAATTTGGACGGAATATGTAAGCACCTGATGATCTATTTGCGGAAATTTCGTTGTTACCGACGGCACCGAAATAGTACAAGAAGTCTTGAGTAAATTGAACAGTTTTTCCATTCATTTGAATGTTTTCAATTTTTCCTGTGTTGGGTTCTATATTTACTCTTATGTTCTGCAAAGATTTTCGTAAATTTAAAATTAACTTGAAGTACAGATTATAGCATTTTTTGTTGTAATTGGTTCCTTTTGACTTAAAATGAAGGAAAATCACGGCTACAGGACTATAAGAAAGTGGTTTTGTGGAATCGATGAAGTTATTGATTGTCTTGTATCCAGGAATAATATTGATGGTAACAATAGAAAGACAAACATTGTGTCAAGATTGTATTTCCAAACTTGCAATAATAAATTTGATCTGCTGCAAAGACATATTCAAGAAATAACGACACTGGGTCACTGAGAAGACGTATTCGAAAAAGAAGTGTCGTAAAAAAGGTTTGAATATTACTTACTGAGGAATTTATTTATATTCGGACATTTTAATATGAACAAAAACCTAAACTCTACAAATTTTACACAAGACTTAATCTGCCTATCCAAAATAAAATTGAACAATTGAATCTACGTCAGAGTAATACATGAACCTTTCTAACATGGTTACATCATTTCTTTCGTGACAGATCAACTATTGATTGTAAAATATTGTGAAAAGGTAGATAAATTATTTGTGTGGTCACAACTTTTTTCATTTTTTTGTCTATAGTTGCGTTTAGATGTACGTAGGGGAACAAATATATGCCACATCAAACTACCCTAAATGATGTATTTGGCAATAAAGACCAACGTATTATCCAATATGTGATGTGTTGAATGCGATGCAATCTGGAATTATCATCTTAAGTTGTTTTTGTGTCTGTGTAACTTGGTCTTATCAAGAACTTATCTAGTTTAATGTAGGTCAACTTATCTAATGGTCTGTTTTGGAAAAACATTTTCACATTAATTTAAATTTCTAAAGTTAATCGAAATTATTTAGTTATGAAGTCTGTTTTAAAAAAACACTTTTAGTTTTTGCGATACAATTTTTTTAGGTTATTCGAAATTTTTTATACCATTGAAGTTTTTTGGATCATCTTAAAGGTTGGTGCAGAAATAATCTCATTAAATATGTTTATGATATTATCAACAATTATTATCAATTAAAGCATCTACTTTTCTATGATAGAGTCTGTTTAGAAAAATCACTTTTAGTTCTTGAGATAACAAATTTTTAAGTTAATCGAAATTTTTGATGCTATTGAAGTTTCTTGGATTATCTTAAAAACTTGATACAGAAGTGATCTGATTAAATAGGTTTATGATATTATCATCAATTATCAATTAAAGCATCTACTTTTCTATGATAGAGTTTGTTTAGAAAAATCACTTTTAGTTCTTGAGATACAAATTTTTTAAGTTAATCAAAATTTTTTATGCAATTGAAGTTTTTTGGATTATCTTAAAAACTTGGTACAGAAATCATTAAATATGTTTATGATATTATTATCAATTAATGCATCTTTTTCTATGATAGAGTCTGTTTAGAACAACCACTTCTAGCTCTTGAGATACAAATTTTTAAAGATAATCCATAACATATCTACCATACATAGACGTAATAGTGCAACTTTAAGTTATATACAATAGACAATATAAAGCAAAAAAAATTGTAAGTCAGAAGGAACCAAATACACCTATAATACAATTTTACCCCTTGTTTTAGTTGATAACCACTTTGTGCTTGTAGAATATTATTTCCAGAAGATTTTTGTACATAATACGATAAAAATCCCAAAGCAGGAACTTGTTCTGCTTTAAAAACTAATTCAGCTTTTGATGCACTAAATCTACCTGGGATTTTTTGTATAAAATCGGCTGTTGGAATTAAATCACGAGGTATCTTTGTTCCTAAATAATAAAATATAAATATGCAAAAGATAACTTTTAAATTGTTGTAACCATTTGTTACCATTTGAATCAAGTACATCATAAGCACTACCTGTTACTGGTAATCTTACATGATAGTCTACAGGTCTGCTTAATGGATTGTATACGGTTACAATAAAATTATTTTCTTTTTCCGTAAAAGCGCATTGGCTGACGTTTGCTAGTAAACAAGATTCGAACTGTATTTCAGGCAACGGATCATATCTCGGTTTATTCGGGTCGTGACCTGTTACTAGTTGACTGAAAATAAAAATATAAAACAGTTGTAAATATAAAACGTTTTATGACAAAAGACATAAAATCTTCAAGTTTACGACAGCATCGAGTAAACAGCGAGATATAAAGTTTCAGGATACTTTTTAATTAAATAAAAAGTAAATGATTTTATACATTAGAATTCAAAATTTATTACCTTAAAGCAGTTGCTGTAATAAACTGGCACTCATCAAACCCTTTCGACAACATTCTCGCATAATCAAAAGCTACATGTTGTTTTTCAGTTCCTGTTATAGCGTCATGATGTTGCATGACTCCCATTGCTTCACGCATGAAATTTAAATCAACCCAATCTTCTGGACCCAAATCAACTAAACAATATAGTTGTTTACAAACCTAATAAAAAGGTGGTTAAAAAAATGTAAATGAAAAACGGATTTAAAATACTTGTAGGAAATTGTTTCCCATTCGCTCAAATCGTTTTAATGTTGGTCTTGAGGTAAAATATCCTGTCCAATATGAATTAGGATCTGAGGCGTATGGAAAGAAATCATCTGATTTAATTGGAAATGAAATTTTTTTCTCTTTTCCATTGTCTTTAACCGCTTTTAAGTAACACGATGGGGTCGAATATAATAAATGATATTTAGATCCATTTTTTTGCATTTCATTTCCATATCTGTATGATTTAAAAAAATAAAATTAAAATAAGATATTATGAAAAATGTTTTAAATAAATTGGTGTTTGGTGCGATAAATTAATTAAAGTTAATCGACAAAACTTACTGAATAAGCTTGTCTAAATTTTTAAACCACATATTCGCATCTTGATAATTAAAATCTTCGCCCATTGTAATAATTACATTGTCTGTGGCATATGAATTGGTAACATTATCAAGATACTCAAAAAATTCCTTTACCTAGAAGAAAAATCAGAAAGGAACATACCTTATTAATCTGTCTAAATTAGAGAACCACATATTTGCATCCATATACGTAAAATCACCACCCATAGTCAAAATTAAGTTATCGGTTTCATAAGCGCTACTTTGCTTATCAAGATATTGTGTTAAATCACGAAACTAAAGTTAGTCACGTCAAGAATACATTTAAATGTAATTACAAAACTTACTCTTTTATCGACGTTGTAATCGGGGCTCTTTTTGTTATCAATTATTGGTTCATCGTCGCAAAGTGTATCGAAACAAAAACCAGGAGGAGGTCCATAAGTGTTGTACATTACAGTTGTGAATAAGTCGGTGTTATTACCTAAAATTTTTGCTTTAGAAATAATGAATAAATGATTTGGTAATTGTGTTAGGTTGGCGCAATTAAGTTATTTTTCGTGTAATATTTTTAATTTAACAAGTAGTGAATTAAATAAGAAGTTGCAATAACTGAATCTACTTATTACAGTGAAACCTCGATATAAGGGATTAATATGGGAAAGAGAGTGTCCGTTATAAGCAAAAGTCCGTTATAGCAAAAATTTTCAATTTGCATTTTACGTGACGTCACACATGGGTGGGCAACTACTATTTCACACTTTGAATTAACAAATGCTTAATTTATTCTATTGGGTACGTCTTCAGATGCACGGCTAAACCTGAATGTTTCTAGTTCTAGATTTATTATTAGTTCTAGTTTTACACTAGCACTGTTACTATGTAGAACTAACACTATACCTAGAACTAAAATCATTTGGGTTTAGCCGGCACTGTTACTATGTAGAACTAACACTATACCTAGAACTAAAATCATTTGGGTTTAGCCGCACGTCTCTAAAGACGGCTAAACCCAAATGATTTTAGTTCTAGGTATAGTGTTAGTTCTAGTTTTAGTTCAATAAAAATATACAACAATCTAACGCTGAATAAACCTAGAGCTAACACTAGCATTGCAACTAACACTAGACCTAGAACTAGAAATTCATTCGGGTTTAGCTGTGCGTCTCTTAAGACAGCTAAGTCAGCATGTTTCTAGTTCTAGGTTTAGTATTGGTTCTAGTTTTAGTACAATAAAAATATACAACTAAAACTAGAGCTAACACTAGCACTAAAACTAACACTAGAACTAAAATTCTATTGTTAGTTCTACTTTTAGTACAATAAAAATGTACAACAATTTAGCACTGAATAACAATTAAAGTAGAACTACCGTCCTTGATTGAGTTTATCTATGAAAATGGAATAGAGCAACTTGAGGAATAATCCCGAGCTGGATTTTATCTATGACCGCTAACATTTATATTTAAATATACTGATGTTATTAAATAGATAATATTCGCATATAATTCGCATATATTAATGCGAACACCGTTCTAACGAGGTCCGTTATATCGAAGTTATACAATATTATATTAACCTAAGCTATCAGTTGCACGCCAAACAAATTCGGGTGATTTTGTTTCAAATTTAAAACTTTTATCCTGATAATCGATCCTTCCCAATAATAACCCATCGTATCCCATTTGCGAAAACATCGAAGCCATTTCTCTGCTATGACCAAACGGGTCGATTTGCCATCCAACTTTCGGTATTCCGCAAGCACCGAAGGTTTCGTTCAATTTCCTTAATCCCCAAGTAAATTGGTCAATTGTCGATTGATAATGAGTGGCTGCCTCGTCATTCATACTCCAACCTCCTCCAATAAACTCTAATTGACCGTTATTAACAAACTTCTTCACGTTGTGTTTCATGAAATCGTGCTGTTTCATCCACCATTTCCAAAAGAAAGCAGTTTCGACGTAAATGAAACGTCTATCTTTATTTTTACGTAATGAATCCATCACTGAATCTAATATGTATTGAACACCCGCTTTTTGAATATCTTGTTTACCTTTAAATATTTAAATTTATGAATTTATTTTTAAATTTTAAGTGGTTATTTTATCTTACTGCCGTAATAATATTGATCAACCGTTTTTAACCATCCAACATCATCATGAGTATGTGGTACTATATGAACGTTTATCATTCCAGGTTTTGTTTTATGACAAGACTAAATAAAGAGAAAAAAAGACCTTGAAAGGTAGCAACATAAAGGTCAATTAAAGTTTTATCCCATAAATTAAAAAAAAAAATAAATAGTGATCATATAAATATTTTCATTCTAAAGTATCAAAGACCACAACAAAAGAGAACTAATTAAATTGATAACATTATATAAATAGAATTAATTATCGTTTAGTCAACTATTTTGTGTTATTATTTCGTTATTAATTTTTAAGATTTGTTACCTCATATCCGCACTTATCAGAGGGAATCCAATGGCCATACACTTGAAACACAAAAAACATGAGAGTTAATAAAAACCTCATGTTCACAGCGTCTTGGCTCGAACTGTGCTCGTAATAAAACTTAACGGACGTTTATAAGTGATAATAACGCGCAGTGCACCGCCTTCCGTTGTTAACTGAAAGAGAATTGACCGGCAAAGTGCTAGATATACGATACTCGTGACTGTTGAAACAGTTCCGCAAAAAGCTGATAGGACGAAACCAATCGTCAGAAGTCAAAACAATTTCATATCTTTCTTGTACTAGCGATATTTTTAATACTAAAATTTATTATGTTGTGCGTTTTAAGTTAAACATTTTCCTTACATATTTGGTTCTGTGATAAAAACAGGAATTTGTTTGTTATAAATCTATTTATAAATTTTGGTCAATACAAATAAATACGAAATCTCTTTTCTGTTGTATATACAAATAAATTTGAGAGATTTTGATATGGATATACTTAATAACTTGAATTTTGGAATTGTCATTTGTAGGCGACGTCATTTGTTGGCCTAAAAAATAAATTTATTAATATTAAGATCTGTATTCATAAATAATAGTTGGGTACCGTTGATAATACTATCACTGATATTAGAAGAATGAGGATTACTGTTAATAGAACTGCCACTAGAGCTGTAAGCCTTTTTTCGCAGGGTGTCCACTTTGATTTACAACAATATTGCTCTTGTTGAACTCTAAAATCATAAATAAAAAATTAAAATTATTTATTGTATTTATGTATTAATTATTTAATGAATCATGTAATTTGATGACTAAGTTTTTATTAATGTTTATGTAATGATAAATCTGGTGCTTTATCTTATTTATTTATGAGTCGGGTATGAAACCATCAGGTTAAACCATTTTCTATTCCTAATTCTAAATTATTATAACTATAATCTAAGTATTCATAAAGGTTTACACAAAAATTTAAATAATGCAAGTTCTCTCACGAGTGTTTGACATTTATGTATAAGTATTTTTAACATAATTTTATGGGCAAGTTGCGTATGGCATAGCTGAAAGTTCTATAAGTAAATAAAATAGTAACGTTTTAACTTAAAACTATTAATAAAATTAAATTGTTTTCATGATGATATACAATGTTTTGTATGGCACAAAATATCTATTGATACATAATGAAACATTAGATTGAAAAAGATAGTAATAGGTTACACAATTTCATTGAAAATTCCCCCAAAATGTTTCATTTTTCAATTACAAATCACTTCGGAGAAAATTCTTTTTTAATCTCTTTTCTCAAAAAACATTAAATTGATTATGATTTTTTTATAGAACACTGATAGATCAATATCAATTGCAAAACGTTCATCGATAAATGACGCATTATTAAAAAAACATAGTCATTATTGGAACTATCACTGCTTCCTAGTTGAGGTTACTATAATTATAAATTCTCACAGAAATGAAGAAGTTGCCTCGGAAAATGGACGGACAAAGCGAATACATACGCAATGAATAAGAACAGACGTAATATCACCAGACTGGCTTGTTGGAACATCACGTCATGGAACGGTAGAGATCAGGATATTATTATCGAGATGGGTTACCAGAAACCAAAAGAACTATATACCGGAATGGCAAAACAAGAGCATATTCTGCAGTCGGCATACTACTGCACGAAAAATACACACAGAGCATAGACGATGTCGAATACGTAAATGATAGAATACTGAGAGTATCCATAGAAATCAACCAGACTACAATACACTTCATAAGCACATATGCCCTTGACATATCCAAAAACGTAGAAGAAACAAAAAACTTTGACTCGGAACTACAAAATACCTAGGAAGCTACACCTAAATACAACGAATCCACTATTAACAACAATGGCGAGCTTTTGATTGATTTCGGCGTTAGGAATGAGCTGAGAATCAATACTACATACTTCCCGCACAAAATACAGCACAAACATGCTTTCTGCAACACTAGAGGACAACGATCCACGATTGACGTCATAATAGAAGACAAACAGAGCCATTACACTTACGCAAATATTAGATGTGAGGGCTCTAATATCAGCCAACCTGGGTACTGACCACAACCTGGTTTTATGCTAAATACTAATGGAGCGATTAAAAAGAAGCCCATATAGATGGAAAAGTAAAACATTGAAGCAGACTGGAAAATAAACTACAAAACACTCACAGAACAGACGAACGTGAAGTCTGGCAGCAAATTAAACCAGTGTGTAAGAAGCAGTAAAAGAGTGTATAGGGAAAGGAAGAATGAATATAAACGCCGCCAACCACTTTAAGTCATGCTTTTGCAAAGAAATAAAAGGATTTATAGAAATAAAAAGGAGTAAGCTACCTATCCTATAAGTAAAAGCTTGCCAAGAGAAGAGGAACGTATGATCTATATATAAGCAAGAGACACATCAAACGCAGAGATCAAGGCCATCAAGAGACAGTTCGCAAGTGACATGGATCACGATCTTTATGGGGCACACAAAAAAGTGTGTAAGATGCTAAGATACGGAAAGACATCTAGGCGAGCCACTTTAAACATAGAATTTTCCTCAGTACATTTAATAAGGAGATATGATGAAGAATCGCGAATCCTGATCTCTTCCCTCATATATTATCACAATTTCATTCTTGCTTGCTTCTACTAGTTAGGAAACTAATCTTGCACCAGACACGAATTGAAAGGAAACCTAAATTATTGAAAGTGTTGGTGTTACTATTACTTATTTGATCTATCAGAGTATACCCATTAGCAATTTTCTGTTCTTCTTTATTTTACCTCATCCACAATGTAGACTTTCATACTAATTGTTCTCTCAGTTCAATTTGCAATCATGATATAGAAAGGTATTTAACGTGATATTGCTTTATTATTTGATAAAGCACTATGTTAGCACTCGGCTAAATTAATGTGATGATGAATCTATTTCGCATCAAGTTAAATTAACAACATATTAATCAAGGGTTATTATCCGAATTTATGCATAAATACGTCTCTGTGATTGGGTTTAATCACAGAAAAACTTATAAACCTATAAAACATATTTTGAGTATATTTTGATTTGAATTAGATTAAGTTACTAATTTCGTTAAGTTTTCTTGTTGTCGCATATTTTGATATTCGTCATCGTAAACATATTAGTCATAAGTTGTTTGGTGAATTATTCTGTGTGTACATATTATACAATTATCAAAGATCATATCTTCACCATCATATCTATAACTAAATTACGTTTAGAATAGATGTATATACATATTTAGGAACAATAACGTCACCTGTGCTTAAGTACTGGTAATTTAAAAATTATTTTTCATACTAAATTAGTAATTTTACGACTGTCTAAGATAAACGAAACAGATTGCGTCATGCTTTGATAGGTTTGAAAAACAACAAAATCATCTGGCAACGGTACACTACAGTTCTATTAGAAACTCAATCACTTGTGCCTGAGCTATAAAACATACGAAAATAATTCTTATTAAATACGATAGCGGGAGTTTTTTGATTGTTGCATGTATATCTCTGCTTATCCACTAGACACTAGACTATTATGTAAACGTGAAGTCAACCTCGGTTACTAGTTTTGTCGATGGGGAAATAGTTTGCAAGGCATCCATCTTGAGTGTACTCATTGACGTTGAAAGTGTTCTTATGAAAAACTACTTTTTACCAGTTCCAAAATAAACAGAGTAACCCAACTTCAATATAAGCCAATGTAACTGTGGATCAAGTCAGTCCTACGTAAGTTCAACATATCATAATTTAAATTTAATGCACAACCAAATCAACCCAACCCCACATCAAACCATTCCAAGACATGCGAAGTCTCGACTTCAAGGTCCCAATATGACTTTTATCTGCAGGTCTGCTATAACTTTAGTGATGTTACTTCTTTATAGTGCTATTTCTGGATATTTATTCTGCATTCGTTTGATAGTATGCCGATATTTTCTGGATAATATGTCGACTGATTAATCGATATTCTTTATCAGTTTAGTGGTTTGCTGAATGGGGACCGATGGTTTTGCTAATTTGGAGTTTGATTTCAAAAGGACACAGTTTCAGAACACAGTTTTGGCATACACAAATTCATCTATATCTACGATATTCCCCTTGATAGTCCCAAAAGTGTTATATTAGACAACTAAGATAAATGTTAAGCGTATTATGTCATTAACGTTATTTAGATATCGTCGCCCTAAACCTATGTACGATGTATATTGATTATGGTTGTTGTTGTTCTATTACGCATCCATATATTAGCTTCACATCATCCATCTACTTTGGTTTCATAGTTATTCATGGAACCTTTATATATATATATTGTGGTACACAAGTACCTCTATCACATGAGACTTGTTAACAACATCAAACAAAATTGGCAAACATTCGCAAAATTTAGCAAAACATCTGTGTGTTTACTTCAAGATGAGATACAAGGGGATAGAACCCAGGTGTGCAGGTGTTTTTCGATGCCAAACAAAAACTTGATAGCAAACACATGTGATGACGATAAAAAATAATTCAGGTGTTATAGATTGTTAAAATTGAGTTTGATTAATTTTTTGTCAATGTTGTGAATTATTTTATTTGCCAGTTTTACGCTTATCATTATTTGATTTGATGAATTATGACACTAAAAGACAATGGTGTGACATAAAAGGTCAATTTGATCAAAAGTATTAATAATGTTGTGCATCCATTCGGCATTTTGATAAAATTTGACGTCAAATGCTATGAGATCGATTTAAGAAGAAATCAAACAGAACTTTTATTATTAGAGAACAGTCTTATATCTTCAATAAATTATACCTCATTTATAAATAATAATTAAAGATCAATAAATTAATATTAATCGATTTACTAAAATTTAATTATTACCATATTTTATTATAAAATTATGTTACAAGTGGCGGATATTGTAAATTGGATAATAATCTTAAACAGTTTATTAATTGCTTGCGGGAATACATTGCGTGATTGCATGATATTTACCAGCCACTTACCTTAGATTCATTCATCAATTAATATTTTTATAACACCAATAAAAAATTAATAAATTTATTTCGAGATAAGATACAATTTTGCATTAATATTAATCCTTTCATTCTCAATTTTTATGAAAGGGTTCATAAAACTCAAATGGCGAAGAATTGGAATTATTTTTATAAAAAATATTTGTTAATTAATCTTTAAGTGAGAATAAAAAGATAAGCTGAAAGCTAAGCTAATAAGAGATAATAACAGATATTCATTTTAATGTACATCTGGCAAGATTATAACAAAATAATCACATCGATATCAACAATTTCGCATCTTGTTACAGATAAATCCTAATGGTTTTTTGGGAAATGTCGATTTTTTTACTAAAACAAATACTTTAAAATGACACATGTTTTAAGATAAGATATTATAATTGTAAAATCGGCTTTTGAAGAGAAGTAAAGTAAACTTACGACAAGCTAACACTTGGTGTTCTTGATGAAGACCTATAGCTTTTGACATCAGCGGCACTTCTTCCTGAGATCACACTAATATTGTCTAAACTGCTTTCAAAAGCTTTATTATCATGTGTGCTGCTTTCCTTTCTCGATCTGCTTGTTGATGCACTTCCTGATCTTGACCTGTGACTTTTCTTGCTTATCTGACTACTTCTAATATCACTCACTGGATTAGTTATTACTGGTTCCGTCGTTGAATCTTCCTCTTCCTCGATCCTATCATCTAAAATTATTGTGGTGTGTTGTTTTCTTGGTTTGCCATAAATCTGTGATCTGGTGTGTCTCAAAGGCGGTGTTTCTTCGAGTTTGCTTACCGTTTGCAAACTGTGTCTAGTAGCATGAGCCCTGGTTAACTGTGCTTGTTGAGGTGGAATTTTAGAGATCTCCTCTAAACTCTTACTATGTTTTTTCGATTTTTTATCCATCGCAAATCTATCACCTAAATCATTATTTGTCGGTCCATAGTTGTTTTTATTTTTATGTCAAATCTAAAAGAGCACCTGCACTACTGTTCAAATTACGGACATGTTCGCGTAGATAAAAAGTATTGTCGCACTGATAGTAGCTTATTAGCTCACGACAGCATTTGCTCCGTTCGGTTGCGCGGATTGTCACGTTATCTTTTTTTGTGGCGATAAGATAACAAACTACTATACGAATTTGGTTGTAGAAATTGAACCAACCAAATCGATGCGAAATTGATTATGACTAGGAAAGAAATCGATTTTTGAATGATAAAGATCTTAATGTTTAAGAACATTTTAATTGTTAAAAATCATTTAATTATAACATAGCAGTTTCTCAACTGTAATTTAATTCCTTTCGATCAATATCTTCTTCCTGATGCTCTTTTTCTTATATTGAAAGCTTTCAAATAGATGCAAAGTTCGTGTACTTCCCGTTGCGATTGTAAACAAACAATCGCCGAAGAGTTCGGGGTTTAGCAGCCGGGGTGGAGATCCGGGACTCGTGCCGGGATCTGCGCACCAACTCCACATACAGCATCCCCAAACGCACCCTATAATACCTTCCCCCAGTTTTGACCGAGTACGGTACCCTATTGATTCATAAAAGGGCGCGCGCCAAATTCCGAGCCACGAATCCAGACATACTCCGTACGAACCCTCCAACGTGGAAGGGATGTTTCCAGCGACATTGCTTCCACCGCGAAACTCCCAGACTCGTTCACCAACGACAAGCTCGAAGATAACAACGCTGACAATAAACGAAAATGAGACTGTGAAAGTTACTTTAAAGATGTGATTGAACTATTCTTAAAAAAAGATATTGGTATATTTGTGTTTACTGTGATGAAGACTTTACAAACTCTAACAGTTTCTTCTTAAAACAATACTAATTAATCTTGTTCTACAACTATTTATCTACTACTCTATAATCTTCTTATAAAATAACTTATGCAATATTTAGTAAATAAATTTAAATGTTCTTAATCGTTCTTAACTAATTAATATAACTCTTTATAATATCTTAAAATCTTCGTGAATCCCTAAAATTAACAAATATGGCACAATTTGTAACTCATATCCAACCAACTTTAATGGAAGCTTCCCATCATCATCCTCCACTTCATCATCACAAAGAGCTACACAAGGAACATCACCCAAAGGATTTTACTAGTATGTTCTTGGATACAGGAAGGCACAAGGAGCACAAAGACATAGAGAGTCATTACAAAGATGTTCAAGCCCACCAAGGCCATCCAAGGGAGTTTCCGGTATTACCATCTCAACATTCCTTTTACACCCACGACCATCACCACCACCACCACGAATCAAAAGGACACCATCAATTACAAGACATTAAACAGAAGAGTTTCGAAAAGGGACAATATGTTGATTCGCATGGAACTCATCATGAATATCAATTACGATTCATAGATTCACAAGGAATTCATAGAGATTACCATGGTCATAGCGTTGATGGACCTGATAGTAGAAGTAAACCGAGCCCTCCAAAACACATCGAGTTGAAACCCGTTTATATCGAAACTAAGGTAAGTTATAAAATAATACTTGTTGAAATTTACCACCTGTTTGATATTTTCGCGATATCTTCATAAATCGATAAAAAGTGGTTATAGCGACACGTGTGATTTATATCAAAAGAGATTTATATGTTTAGATGAAATATTCTTTAGTTTAAAACCGAGTTTAAGTTTTTTGTCGATATTTTATTATCTATTGAATAGATTTTTCATGACATTAATTTACTTAATAAAATTATTTACTTCAATAAATGCAATCTAAATGATATAAATAAACATAATAGTACTTTATTTAGATGGATAAACAAGATATATAATTTAAATGAACTTTGTCGAACATTTATTTATTTTGCAAATTCATATTATCAAGTACGTACCTTTCTTGTTTAGATAAATATATACTGATAAACGTTACAAAGCAAGTATAAAAACATTGACGTAGTGGTAAATACTTAATTAAAATAACTCGTTAAAAAGCAACCGAGCATAAACAACATGATATTTTTAGTTCGTTAACAAAAATATCGTATTTCATTAAAAATTTATGGGCAACCTCTAGCGATAAGACAAGCTAACAAATTCTAAAACATCTTTCCTCGGGATTTATGTAAATAAATTCTTTAAATCTGCCAGATAACAAAAGGAAAACTTTAGAAAAGTTGATTATTCTTTGCCAAGAACGCTTTATTTCTTTTTGCGGATTTGGCAAGTCTTCCGTATCTATAGAGGATGCTTTCACCATGGCGACGATGTGACGGGGCGAGTTGTGTTTCAGAAGGGGTCGTTATCCTGAAGCCCGACAGGCTGGCTCCGGTTTTCTGGAGCAATTCGAATCTTAATGGAACATGGCCGTTGAATTTATAGCTTTTAGCGCTAGTAGCGTCAGGATATTGTACTATATTGCTTTGTTTCGGTAGCTTATATGAGAGTGAGTCACTCTCGTTTTTCCCGAGATGGAATATTCGAGTAGCAATTTACCCAGAATGGAATTGCAAATTCACTGGAATCTATTTACTATTCAATCCTTTTTTCTTTTTAATATCAAAATAAAACAAAATCCACTTTAATCATAATGTCAAAGGGATAACCCATATAGCTCAATGTCAATTTAAGGTTGTAACGCAGACATTCAAACCAAGAAGACCTTTGGCAAGTTCCGATCTATTGATCAGCTAAAAGTCCATTAAAGCCATTTTTAGCTTGTAACATCAAAGCGGAGGCGATCAATTATTTCACTCCTTTTTCTTCGATTAATCCAAACTTTACTTTTCTAATTTTAGTACAAAGTTAAATAATTGTTTTTGGTTGTATACATAAAAACTTTAAAAGAAATGACATATCAATAAAAAGAAACGATTCGTAACATTAGGATGGCTGCCAACATTTTTGGCAAACATCTCGTTGCGATTACGTGGCAAAAATTTTGCTGTTCCAAAACAAAACTAACTATTACGCCAACGATAGACGCCGCGACGTCTGGTCGCCGGTTTTTAAAGGTCCGTAATAAAATAATTTTTAATGGTTCAGGCACGAGTTACCCAAGCGTAATTGTTTGAACTTTGATGTATATTATTATTTTTGTCGTATTATCTTCAAGGATATTGTATTATTTTTGTTGTTGAACAATGATTATTTAAATGAAAATTTTTATTTTGTAACCTCAACATTGCTATTTGACCATACTTCATTGTGGTTTAGTTACCTTTCTCCAAATTGGAACTTAAATGTTGATGCCTAATTTATTTTGCAAAATAAAACATACATTTTACTGCAAGTCCATTTTTAAATAGAACTTGAATTTTCATGCAATTCGATATTGGAATCATTAAACAAGCTGGTTGCTAAATCTTTTTCAAAAATAGTAATCACATTTTATTGCAATCAAACTGAATCTTTCTGCGATCTGAATTCAAACTGAACTATGAATCTCTATACTGTTAGGTCCATTAATCTTTAAACTTGAATCCAACATCGCTATACATTTAGATACTTGAATAACCTCTTTCTCCAAGGTTTTTTCCAAAAAAAAAACTTAAATCGCTTTGCTATCCGATATTAAATCTCAATTAGGTATATGAATCTGCCTTCTAACTGATTTCCAAATTAACTTAGTAATTGTGTTAGAAAATGTTGCTAGAAAATGAGGACAGCGTTGCAAAAATTATGGTTGCCCGAAACATGGTACATACCGTGTTGTTGTTTGCTCCATATTGTTGCTCTCAATTCTATTACTATCCCTCAAGAAGCATGAATATAAAAGGTTGTTTACTATAACTCATGAAATATCAACAAACAAGATCAGTGCCAAAGTTGTTCTGGATGAAAGCATGGTGTAAGCAAAGTTGTAAACAACTAATCAAGTAATTAATAATAAGTATGATTAATAGACTGAAAGGCCAGAGTTTTGCTAATTCTTTTTCATGTTTATGGTACAAAATTCTTTCTGACACCAGCTGATGAGAATGTAATTAAATGATAAACTGGCTTTAATTAGGTTTAGACATTCTCTAAACATCATTCATCAAGAACGGCTGTAAATACACAATCTAAGTTGGCAAAAGGGTTGTTCTTCACATCTTTGTGGACAACATGACTTGCAATTAATAACCAGTTTTTATAATATAATTAAATTCCACTTGATAGGATGAGTTAGTAAATCCTGATGAAATAGATTGGCACTCCCAGCCTTGTCATGATTCAAATTAGTATTATCCTTAGAGTACTGTACAACTTAACGTTTTGGACCTTTCTTAATTTGATATTTGGTGGATTTGAAGAGTTTATTAGGGTGTCTAATAAAGAATGAGATAGATGCGATGACGATATAGGCAAGGTACTTAGAGATTCTGCCTCATTTGAGTCAATGCACAATTTGAAAACACTTTTATACATTGGTTCCTTAATAGTACTTGAATATTATTGCAATATTCACACTGCATTTTAATGTCTTATTGTACTCACCAATGCATCAGTAAGCTAAACAAAGACTTTTGTTTTCCTAGATTTACTTTCATCTGAGGTTCAATACACTTGAATAAGGTGATCTTTATTTTCCTTATTGCAAAGTCTGCAAATGTATTTCTCGTTATTTAGCATAAGCTAAAAGTTACAACATATGCTTCATTTATTGGGATGTGGTCACGATTCGAGGTATCACCGCAGAATAGATAGAATGCAAATACAGTACGAAATTATGTGTTTTAGAAAAATATAAGAAAAATTATGATCGATATACATTTATTGCATTATTATGATTCAATTAAGTCACAGGTTACTAATCTAGGTTGTAAAATTTGTCCCGTAATGTTTTTCTCGTGGGGAACCATGAATCAACCGTTCACGTTTTTCATTTGAATTTATATAAAAATAGCGATGATTTCGACGGTGATATAACGATGTTGAAAATGTAAGTACGATATCAAAACTTGTATCAAAGTTTATTTAAATTACTAAACACCAACAAAATTAACTAAATAGTTAAAGAGTTTTAATTGGGTTTCAAGAATTTTAACAGAGAGGGCAGCAAATAAATTCATTACACTATTTTGGAAGTTTCGCCGTGTAACACGGGATTAGATATTTAAAATTCCTTACATTATTGTTGCGCATGCTTAATATGGAACAGACCTCTGTCGGTTACTGGTTGAAATAGTGGCTTCTAGTAAAATGATCAATAAGAAAACTGCAGTTTTGACCTGCGCTTGGATGTTACTAGATGTCGCCTGCATTCATTTTTTGAGTAACTTAATTCAATATTTATAGATATAATAATAAAATTGAAATTCGATTTAATTTATTAATAACATAATAATTCATTTTACGTTTTCTTCTGGTATCGTTCATAATGATTACATAATTAATTAATTCTACTTTATGAGTCGCAGCTTAGAGTATTTTTCAAAGATCCATTCATATTCGAGATATTTAAATCTTAAGGTCTTTAGAGTAGGATAATTACATCCTGATGATAAACAAGTTATCTCAGTTAATCTACGTATTATGCTGTAGAAGTACTTTTTACCTTACAGTGTGCAGTTAGGAAAGAGTTATCAGTTTGCGACATTATTTCAAGACTTTACCATGTAAAACTTATTAACATATTTGCATATTGTCAGCATATACATACCAAGGGGCGCTCCTGGATGACTTTGTATAAAAACGGTATTACATATTTGTTATCAACGTTTTGGTATCAAAACCTAAATCAAGAGAATCGTCGAACCCCACTACGGACTTATCTAACATATGTTCATGCAGTTTCCTTGGAATCATCCACCTCGCGTTCAAAACCCAGTACTTTATCATGGGGTGACAGAATGAATTACTCTCTTCTTTAATACTTAAATTTACATTTAAAAAAAATCTATTACGCGTAGGTTATATTTGGATATCTTCTGCACACGAAATTGGGAATAATAGGTCGTATGGCAGAATATAGGAACGCAAAAATGTCATAAAATGTCTTACTTCACGGAACATGATATAATAACATAACAGATCTGATAATAAAGCAAAAAAGAACGATTGCAAATCAACTGAAAACAACTTGAAAATAATTTCGATCCTCGACGGCCAACTACATAATACATATAATGGACCAGAAAAACATTAAAGTCAAAGCAGCCACGCCGAAAGATATCATATTAGGGTTCTCTACAACTTATGCCAATATCACCTACGGTAAGAAAAGGATGTCCGACTAATTTGTAGAAAAGCAGAAAAGTACCTGGATATTATTTTCGAGACTATTAGCCCACATGTCTTAGTTTGCTTTGCTTCGAGGTTAAATTCGGAAGTTGTATATTGTAATGGGTTTGTGTTGGGTTCTTGTAGGTTAGTCATATAAAAGAGTTGTATTGTTTTGAGGTCGTATTGGTTTGCTTTTGAGTTGGAGTTTGTTGATTAGAAGTTGGCTTAACTTAGTTTGGTATTAACTTTAGACCTTTGAATTATAATATGTTAAGTTGTGTTGCTTTAGGATTCAATTTATTTATATTGTGGTTGAGTTG